GGTTTTTAAAGGGTTTTTTTTGGGCCCCGGGGGGAACAAATTTCCTTTTTCCCTCCCCCTTTTCAAATTTTTCTTTTTAAAAGGAAAAATTCCCCCCCCCCCCCCCCCCCCCCCCCCCCCTTCCTTCCAAGGGATGCATAGGCTAGGCGTACTTCTCACACCAAACCAGTTTGAAAAAGCAGTAATACTATTTAACCTTAGGTTACTTTATTTCAGACTCTTTAGCGAGGAGATCAAATGCACTGGACAGAATCTTGATACTTGTCAAGACACCAAGAAAATTGTGGAGAACTATTTCAGTTATTTAGGACGTCCGGCTTGTGGTGGAGTTGCTGTGGTCTCATTAAGTCTTCTCTTATCATTCTTTACTCTATGTTTTACTTTCATTTTACGTCATTAAATTGTCATTAGTTTTCACAAGACAACTTGTATCGTCCCGAAAAAATGTAACGCTAATCTTAGATCTTGATTACCGCTTACCTTGAAGAGCGCAATGGTTTGAGTTGATTCGATTAGTTTACACAGTGGCTCAACTACCTGAGTGGGGGTCAATGAACTTTAGTCGGTTGGGGCCTCTTCCCCATAATTTAACATGAGCTCTCCTGCATTTTTTTCTGGGGGTGGGGTGATCTTGACTTCAGTACAGTGGTGGAGCCAAACACCCCCCTCGCAGCCCCTAAAGCAAGTTTTTCGGTCAAAAATCTCATAACTAGGTTAGAATTTCGGGATATCTCAAATATTCCGCCCCTCAGACGTAAACCTGGCCCCACCACTGACTCAGTAGTTAAGCCACCGGGTTTACCAAACAATTTGCAAGTTTTGACGGTACATGTGTATTCATTGTCAAATCTCTTATATTATGCTTAACTGGGAGGCTTCTGCAAATGCTGACATCTCTCATAAGTATTCATTGTTATACGTATATGCCACCAATACTTCCATAAAATAGCTTAGTCTTTTGATCACAATTTGCATGAATTCGCTTTCCCTCTTCATTAGCCACATGGTGAAGAAAAGTAGGACGTAGAACTCCATTCATTTCATTTCCAATAGGCTTTTCTCGGGCCGTTTGCCATTACAAACGAGGCTCGGTATACAACTTGTAGCGTTTCCTGGTAGTCTCTGATGCCCACGCTATACCTGTCTAAGATGAGCTTCGGGAAGACAAAGAGGGGCTGGATGATGGAGGCTCCTTTCCTGGTTGAGTACTGACATAGACGTCGTTTTGAATATTTGCTTGATTCCAATTCTCACCACAATGAAATGGCATGTATATACATGTATTAAGTTTTGTTTTCTGTATCCATTGTAATAAGGAGCCGCGGTGGCTCAGTGAGTCAGACCCTGAAGGTCTAGGGTTCAATCCCGGCATAAGTCGAGATAATATTTTTCAACCGGTTTCCCCCTGTCAGCGATGCAGGTAAGCGTCTGGTCGTTCGGATGGGACAATAAACCGAAGACCCATGTGCTACAGGCTGTGCACGTTAAAGATCCCTCCACAGCTGGAAATAAAAAAAGAGCAGGCTGATGCCGCTGTCCTGGCAAAATTTCCCTTATTTTACACTGCATGGCATTGCCCGTCTTCATTATCCAACTTAGTGCAGTAAAACGTAAAACTCCATTCATTACATTTCATTTTTCCATTGTAATAAATAGTGGATCTAATTTTGTGGGTTTCATCACTTTCTGAAGAATGTATATATTTATCACCTATGTTTTTTATCTTCTTCTAAGATTAGGAATGACTTTATGACAGGAGTTTGAAGAGAAAGCTACAATCCACATCTGCGCTTAATAATATAACTTTTAATTTTGATGATTATTTAATGAAAATAATAGTTATATCTCTAACAATTGCATATATCATTACATAAAATAACATAAGTATAACATTCTTTACTACATGCAGTTGTCATACATTTCCCATAAATGTGTCTGTCTGGTTGGACTTTGTCCAAGCACACCATCCAATTCATGGATCAAATTAAAGGGATTGTAAAGAGGTTTTCTAAATTTTGTATGTGTATCAGGGACAATGATAGCATCAATTTGCAGCATTCCAATTTTCAATCTGACGTCTGTGTTTCTTGCAATTCCACTAAAACTAAGTGTTTGATGACATTGCTGATCGCAAAAGACCTTAATGAAGAAGCATATTTTGCGATCAGTGACGTCATCTAACCCTTAGTTTTAGTGAAAGGTTGAATAGTGCAAATTGGATACTAATAATTTTTTTTTAAAAAATATCTTTACAGTTCCTTCAAATCCCTTCAATGTTTTCTTTTTCAATTTGAAATTAGGTAAGATAATAATACAATATAACATAACATTAGATATACAATAACAATGATCTATTTTATCAAATAAATCCATACATAATTAGTCTATATAAGAAACAGTTTAAATCTGATTGAATTATTTCATTCTTATTTCACATGCAGATATAATAGTAGTCATTCAAATCTGTCTAGTCCAGTTTTTTTGTCTTTTTTGGTTACTTCACTGGTTCTAGTTTAAAATTAGACCAAACGTTCATTTTATTTTATTTATTAACTGATATTTTTGATATGGCCACTTCAGTTAGACTCTCAAGACAGCCCCTTTTGAGCTAGCTCGATGACGTCTGCTTTAACCAATCAAAGTTCTACCCATTCCAGCACTAACACTTTGTGACACAGTTTATCAGGTTAGGTCAAAAGGTTACTTTGAGAGACGTTCAAGAAGGATGTTGTTAGACCAGAAATTAAGTGGCTATATCAAAAATAAAATATAATATATTATATTAAAAAAAATGAAAGGAAAGCTTGGTCTTATTCAAATTAGACTAGTTCTAGATCTGACAAATGTCAGTTAGGATGAAAATAAGGGTGTAATGGATGTGTATGAAAATTTGTTAAAACTCATACTTAAGAGGGTTAATATATCAGAATATTCAAAGAGTGATTAATCTCTTCTTGTAAACTGCAATTGATTGGTGAAATTAGTGAGCACACCTATCAAATCAGTCTAATTAAAATCAGACCAAACTTTTAGTTGCGTTTTGGTTAACATTTATTTTCAATATCGCCACTTCAGTTTGGATCTATCAACAGGCCTCTTGAACATTTGTTTAATTAACCTTTTGACCTACCTCGACGTCTGCTTTAACCAATCAAATTCCTTCACGCTCTCACAAAATGCAAAGAGGGAAGGAATTCAATTGGTTAATGTAGTGTTAGGTCAAAAGGTTATTTTGACGAATGTTTAAGAGGGCTGTCTTTAGACCCTAACTGAAGTGGCTATATCAAAAATAAATTCAATTGACTTCTATCTAATAACTCTCATTTGATTTTGAATAACTAAAGTTGTATTAACCCAATAATACAAAAAAAATCAAAACGGAACTCGAACCGGACGAGGAGTAAATAAATAATTTTTAGTAGGTAATAACTTATAGGTACTAATACAGTCTAAAACCCATTCTCTTGATACGGTCACCAACCCAGTGGTACTGTAATAATCTGAAATAAACACGTTTCCAGGGTTACTTAATTTCAATGGTACCTTTCTTATTTTGTTCTTATCGTTTTTTGTACCTATCATTCCTTAGTCTCAGACAGGTGCCCCACTTTGGGGGTTGATTTTAGTCTTGAATATATGTAGTCTTCAGAAGTACTAGAAGTGTACAAAATTCGAATAATTCCATCATAAATATCTCAAACTAAGAATTTCTTTTCCTATTTCTATAGATATCTTTTCTATATATGGCAGTATGTTGACAGTGAGCTGTGAACACTATTATTGATTGGCTTAGCTAAAAAATTCCTGTTTCTGAAACTAAGGTATGATTGGTAAAAACTAAAAAAAGAGCATCTGTCCAATTAAAGTATTAGCCATCTTAGGTAAAATACCAACCAATAAATTCTGCAACATTTTTTGGTTCACGTAAAAGAGCAATACCTGTCTTAAAAATCTCCTGGTCTCAATTACATGGCATGTCCAGTATGTCCGCCTTTAGTGGTAGTCAATATGGCTTTAACATCTTCAAGAATTACCTGACTAATCCATGTAGATACTTACTTTTATAACAATTTCTTTCTTCTGGTGGTAGCTCAGTATCCATCGTGTCTTTGTTGGAAACAATCAGTTTCTTAACTTGTGAATTACATCTCAAACAAGATAAAGTGTCAACATCACCTACCACCTCTGCTCCAAGTGATTCAAACAGATTGACCATATCAGCTGAAAGCATAAAAAAATTAATGTTTAATTTCAAAAACATAACTTTTAAGTATTATATTCTAAAATTTCTTCTTAAGGTATTGTAAAGAGGTTTTTAAAATTCTTTATGTGTATTGGTGATACTGGTAGCATCAACTTTTTAATCAGATGTCAGTGCTTCCTGAACAAAAGGTATATTCTGAGAAGCATTAAACACTGAATGCACCTTTTCTTAGCATCACAAAATTCTAGCATTGGAGAAAGCAGGAATTTGATTGGTTAGCAATATTTTCAAACCCTAACTGAAGTTGCTGTATAAGGGAAAAGAAATATAACGAAAGTTTGGCCAAATCTTAGACCGACCAAGAGCAAATGCCACCGAAAATTCTTTAATTTGAGATATTACCTTTAGACATATCGTTACTTGAACCAACACAAGTAACAGCTAGATTCTGGAACAGTTTATCTTGAGACAGACGTGATAAACTAGGTCCATAATGAGAATCACCAGTCACTGTATCTCCTAATATTTCATATGGATTCTAAAACAGAACATGATTTATCACTTGTACATTAAAGATGGGTTCCCTCATTTACATTTCTGAAAATGGAAATGCTAATACTTATATGAATAGAAAGTAGTAGTGTTTTAATGACTTGTAAAAATACCAGTTTGTCTCACATATCCATAATTAATTCATAATTAGCTAATTAGAAGATAATTCCAGCAGAATTCCAATTAGTGACCGATCAAGAAAGGTCAAAAAATCTTTTTTTGTTTATCCAGACTGTACATACATGAACATTTATGATTGGTTAAAACTCTTAATTATATGCAATAATAACATAATAATATGATTAAGAATACATGATAATTTATTAGAAAACCAATTAGTTTGCTTAATATGACACTAAGAAATAAGGAAACCCATCTTTAATGGTTATTTCACCAAACCAATTCTTACTCTTCAGAATTATCATTTGCAAAACTTCAAAACAACAAAGCAGGGCTGTTGATTTGGCTCTATTTGCCGGTCAAGACCACAGAGGCAGCTCAAATGTCCGGCTTACAATGTCCTCTATCGGACATCAAGTGAGGTTAGCTATTACATAGCATTTAATGTCTGTCATATGTAAAATTTAATGAAACACAAAGCACCATTCCAATTTTCAGACATCTGTGGTTCCTGAAATTTCATGGGTTTTATGACGCCAAAATATATCACATAAGTCCCTTTGCATAAGTGAAGTCATCAAATACTTAGTTTTTCTGGAACTGCAGGAACCACAGACGTCTGATTGAAAATTGAAATGGTGCAAGTTGATGTTATCAGTGTCCCACATTTTTCAAAAATCTCTTTACAATCCCTTTAAGTTTTATGAAATATTTAACCAACCTCTAACACCATATGACCAGCTTTTAAAGACTCTTCTACCCAACTATAAGATAAGATCCATAACTTGTGAGCTATAGCTTGGAAAAACTTTAATGTTCTTTCACATACTCTACTCTCATTAGAAACTAAAAATAAACAGAAAATGAAATCTTACAGAGAGTCTTGTATAGCCACCTTAGTTAGGGTCTAAAGACATGTCTCTTGAACATTCCTCAAAATAACATTTTGACCTAACCAAATTTCTTCACGCTCTCACAAAATCCTAGCGCTGTAGAGAATTCACATTGGTTAAAGCAGGGGTCATCTGGTTATTGGGACGAATGTTTAAGAGGCCAGTCTTAAGACCCGAAATGAAGTGGCTATATAAAATATAAAAGCTAATAAATAACAACTTAAGTTTGGTCTAATTTTAATCAGACTGCTCTTTGATATGCATGTAACTGAAAGATAATTTCAAATATTAAGTATTGTGGTGATTTAAACATGGCTCAACTGGATGAGTAAGACTTAAGTGTGTTCGTATGGAGGGGAATCGTTGCCAAAAGTATTCACAAAGTCAAATTTGAAAATAAGGCGTCGACAAAGTCGCATTATACACATTTACAATTTCAAAACAATTTTAAAATTTTTTTTTAAGTTTATCCAGACTGTACATACATGGACATTTCTGATTGGTTAAAACTCTTAATTATATGTAATAAGAACATAATGATATGATTAAGAATACATGATAATTCATTAGAAACATCAATTAATCAAATAGTTTGCTTAATTTGACACTAAAAAATAAGGAAACCCATTTTCAACATGTTGAACAGTGTTTTCTGGACTTCTTGAAAGATGTCAACTTCTGTATACTTGAACGTGACCTACGTCATTTACATAATACGCAAATTCATGAAAACTGAATGGATATCTACAGTAATTTCCACCTACCTGTTTTAACTATTAGATGGGTAATGTGTTTATTAATTTTACCATAAAATTTACAGTCGTTCAAACCAGCTAGCTTTATTACATTTTCCTGGAAAATATGATATAGCAATAAAATAACCAAATGTGAAAGCTTCAAGGAATACTACGTCTTAGAATGGAGAATTTTAAACTTGGCCAATAAGAGTATATATTCATCAGAAGATATACCTGGTATCATAAAGACAATAAATACTTAGTTTTATGAATTTTACAATTTTCTAGATTTTACAGGGATTCTGTTGTAACTTTATGACACTAGGTAAGCTAACTGATGAATATATACTCATATTGACCATTCTTGAGAACTGAAATTTTATGTTCATTCTAAGACATATTATCATTTTAAAGATGACATACCATCCAGAAGCAGTATAATTAAAATTAGACCACATTTTCGTAACATTTTTGAAATATTTTTTATTTTCAGTTAGGGTCTAAACCAATCAAATTCTGTCCTCTCCAATACTGCGATTTTGTGACGCAAGCCCAAGGTGCCTTGATACACATAATTGTTTTTCTGTTTTTCTTTAGGGGGCACCACCTTGCCCCCTGAGGCTACTGGCCTGGTTCTGTCATGGAGCAGCCATTGAAGAAAATAAATTAAGAGCATCTATCTATCCTGGCAGGAAAAACACAAGATATACTTACAGCTTGATCTTTGCTCAATCCACTGGCAGCAAAATTACATTTCAGATTATCATTTCTACAAACTGGTACATTTGGAGTTCGCATGCTGAGCACACGTCTACTTTCAGCTGACCATTTACCACCTGGAGTGGTTTGCCGTTTAGGAGTTGTAACTCTTTTTGACACTCGAGAGTCTGGTGTTCTTTTAATGACACTGCCATTGTTGGGAGTTCTTGGAGATTCTATTTTAGGTCCAGCAGTTGATTGTGAAACCTTACGTTCAAATATGATACTGGAATTTTTAGAAGGTGTTGCATCTTTAGAATCTTTAGGTGTTGCATCTTTGGATGATCTTGGAGATTGGAAAGGAGTTGACTTCCTGGAACTGAATTTAGGGATCCTCCTTACTGGTGTTGAGTCTGAAGAGTTATTTTCTATGCCATTTCTACCTCTTGCCAATCTATTTGGGGTAACATCTCTTAAAGTTTGATCAATTTGATCTAAGCTGATTCGACTTGGAGTTGAAACTTTTCCACTACTGACCAGAGGTGATTTTTCTGTTACCCTTTTCTTCCAATTATTTGAAATTGGTGTTGATTTATTACTTAGTTTTGACGAAGATGAATTTTGGCTGTTCATAACTTCAGATTTATATTTCTGAAGTATTTCCATAGCTTTCTTGACTTCATCTGGCAAGTCAACAACATCTTCATCACTGGATTTAACATTTTTATCACCAGAGTTCGGAATTCCAGCCTGATTTACTTCTTCTTCTGACTCCATGCAGGTGTCAAATTCATCACTCATTGGTTCTGGATCTTCTTCATGTTGTTGTATCTGATTGGAATCCTGATTCAGGTCCACTTCTTTAAAAGTCTGTGGTAGTGAATCAGCCACAAAGTCAATCATTTGATCACTTTGCTCATTTGGTGTAACCTTCCGATTTTGGGAAGGTTGCAATGTTGATTTATCCTGAATTTTGGAAACATCTTGTGGAGTTGGTGGAAGTGGTTCATCATCATCATCTTGTACCATAGGATCCTTACGAGAAGGTACCAAGTTTTGCTTGTGACCCTTAGAAGATATATCATCCATCTCATCCTGTTCAACCAGTTCATTGGTGTCATCATCATCATCAACATCTTCATCTTGTACCTTAGTATCCTTACATGAAGCCACCATTTCTTGCTTCTTACCTTTAAAAGATAAATCATCCAACTCATCCTCATCATCAGTGTCTTCAGCACCATCAACTTGTTGTTCTGTAAGCTGATTTAATAGATTAGGCATGGACATTTCTCTGTTGACTTCTGGAAGTTGATAGTGGTCTTCCTCTGACTCCAGTGCTGGTGGTGAGTACTGAAGTGGACTGAGGAATAAATCACTGTCACTATCATCACTTTTAGTATTCTCTATTTCAGGAGATGATCTGATTGTAGTGATTTCTGAAAAGAAAACCAAAACAATGTTTTGAACCCTCCAATTAGATCAAGGGTACATCTAGAAACAGTCTAATTAGACGTTCCGTTTTTTTATTAACTATTTTTAAATATAGCCAATTCAGTAAGGGTCTTAAGACGACCTTCTTGAACATTCTTCTGTTTGATGATAATCAGCCCTGTCCAAGGCTGGGATTTTGTGACACAAACAAAAGATGTGCAGTATTCCAAAAGCATTAGACACCTTTTGTTTCCAACACAAAATCCCAGCATTGGAGATAGCAGGAATTTGATTGGCTGGTGTCATCAATCAGATGAATGATCAAGAATGCTGTCTTTAGACCCTATATTAAAATATAAGCTAATGGTACAAGTCAGTGCAAACCTTTTTGTTTCTTTTTCTTTGAGGAAATTCTTAATGAATCTCTTTCATCACTGTCACTAGAATCACTATCACTGTCATTCACGACATTATCGGAACCTTTTACAGCCAGCTCTGCTTCAAGCTGTTTAATCTGCTGCTTCATCTTAAGAATATTGGATGTTATTGCTCCTCTTTGCTGCAAAAGAAAGGTTGACTGTGGAATATAACACATATCTAAAGATACAGTCTCCACTAGGAGAAATGTGCCTATTCCAAATTTCAATCCATTAGTCATTGATAAGGACCCTGTTCAACCAAAAATATTGGAGATGTCAACTTTATAGATTCAGCTTGTTTCTGAAACCATAGCTTATATATATTGTGGGTGACCGCTTGAAACCTTGTATATGCCATATTTGGTCATTTTGACTTTTTGGTACCGTTCGAAAGCTCATAAAATCGCGGATCTTGTGATCAAAACCTTGTATTCTTAGCTTGATTGTAAATAACTCAAAAAGCACTAATTAAACAACACGTATATAAACTGTCAGATTTAAAACCTCGTAAAATATATTATTATATAAGATTCAATGTTCCTTTTTCTGCAGATGAAACCGAAAAACCTTGTATACTGTATTATTATACGAGTTTTTGGTTGAATAGTAGGGAATACTCAAATTGTTATACAAGGTTTATATTTTCAAAGAATGAAAACCAAATATAGCAGTAAAAAAAATAATAAATAATAAAAAAGATTGCAACAAAATACTAGTGCAAATAGTTTTTTGTGTTTTGTCGAAAAGTAATTTGGCGTCATATATCGTTATACAAGGTTTCAAGCGGTCACACGATATATATATATATGTATAATTTGTATTTTATGAATAAACATTGTTTAAAAAAATAAATAAAATGTAATGAATGAAGTTTTACATCCTACATTTCTCAACCATGTGGGATAATGAAGACAGACAACACCATGCAAGGTGCAATGAGGAAAATTTTGCCAGGAAATTGGACTGCTCTTTTTTGGTTTATTGTCCCATCCAAATTATTAGAAGCTTTTTTCCATGTCAGTCCCTCTTACCTGCATCACTGACAGGAGGAAAACAGGTTGTGTTATCTCGACCTATGTCGGGATTGAACCCTAGACCTTCAGGTTATCGAGCAAGCATCTAACACACTGAGCCACCACATCTCCCTCATGTCAAGGTGCTTAATACAAAATTTTGTTAGTTGTAAAAAATTTACCTGTGTTGTTACTTCACTCTGACTTGAGAAGGCACTTGATGAATTCATATTGGTAGATTCTAATAAAAAAATATTCAAGGAAACTTTGAAATCGTTACAGCCCTACTTGCGAGGCAAGGTAACAAACATACGCCCACTTCCAGCTGTCAGAAATGATAACTAAGTCTTTATTGGTTTAATAATGAATTCTTAAAAACAGTTCTTCAAATTCAAACAAGGTCTTGAGCATTGACATACACACAAAGGTAATAACTCTAAATATGTTCATCTGATTGTTACCAATTTCAAACTTGACTGAGATCTTATCAATATATACATGCATACTAAGTTTCACCAAGATTAGATAAAAACTATAGTCTCTATCTTGCCTACAAGCCAAATTTAACGTCTGTGGTTCCTGCTATTCCACTTAAACTAAGTGTTTGATGACGTAACTAATCACTAATCGTATGTGATAAAGCATATTTTGAGATTAGGTACGTCATCTAACACTTATTTTATGTTGAATTGCAACAGACGTCTGACTGTTATGATTGTGCAAATTGATGCTATCAGTGTCCCCGATACACATACAGAAATTTCTCTTTACAATCTCTTTAAACATAAGTTTTATGTATCAAAATAACTCTTGTTACATCACATTTTTTTTTGGACTTACCATTATCACTAAGATTGTCTTCATCTGATTCAATAACAGCACTACTTGTTCTTTTAACATTCCTCACAACATCACCATCATCATCTTCATCATCATCATCTTCATCATCTTCATCAACATTGCTATCTGACTTTTCTTCTTCATGAGGCTAGCAAAATAACATCACAACATCTTAATATTCTGAATCCAAATCTATTTAAATTTAGATTACCATTTCGTTTCTTTTATCGGTCTTCATTGTAATTTAACAAGATTTAAACCAAGATTGCATACTGATGACACTGCAAATTATTCCATTTAACGCCACTCTCCAGCCAATCAGTATCACTTTTACAAGTGATTAATTGCAATCTCATAATCTCATTTCGGGTTTCGCTATCCTACAGTCCATATTTAGACATGGATTCTGCATGACGTGCTGTGATTGGTTAAAATCAACAGTATGCGACCCTTGAATAAATTTTTTAGATTACAATGGAGACCGGAAAAAAAATAACGAATAGTCAAGTATAGAAAAGTAGGGTAAACAAGGTCAATAATGGAGCATCGTATCATGAATACAGGTCTTTGACATGGTTATATTGACCGATATTAAACTAAGCCCACTACACTTCATTTTGAGGGCGTGGAAATGAGATTGGTGGCATTTAAATCTGACCAATCAGATCGGTAGAACAGAAATGAGGTCACACAAGACTGCTTTGCCGCCGAACATTTGAAGAGATTAGAACACACTCTTTCCAAGTTAAACCAAAGTAAGGTTTGATTTTCTCTCGGCTTTAATTCTTTAACGAAAATCTTACTCAATCTGTACCGTACATATTCATCAAAATATGCAATGGCACTCTGCTTTTGTTTTGTTTACGTTCGCGAAAAAAGGGTCATAAAGATTGATTTGTTTCGATTGGCTGAAATTTGCTACCAATACAGTTCAATACCAATCAATTTTGATTGGACAATATTTATCTATGAATACGTAATTTTTCTCACTTGTGTTACCACGGCCCTGAGAAGTGTGACGAATGGGGGTGTGGTTTGGACACCATGGAGCTACTATATTCAGGTATTCACAAAAATTTCAAACAAGAGAAATGAATACTTTGAACCTAATGATTTACACCGACTCAAATTAAGTAGAGTACCACCTACCTGCAAACCAGACAAGACACTTCTACCAGTTGCCATCACAGGAGAGCTTGTTAGTGGAAGATCTGCATACTGGTCATCTTCAACTTCATTACAAGAGTCCTTTTCATCTTCACCAGCACCACAATGATTATCTTCTACTGCTTCATCATCATGATCTTCAAACTTATTTTCCTTATTACTATCTGATATTTTTTTCATGGGGTCTTTTAAATGAGATTTTTTCTTACCAACCACATCTGTTTTCTGGATGGTATTTTCATTTTCAAATGTGTCCTGAATAACTTCATCTTCTGAAGAATCATCTTTAGTCCATTCCATTGGCAAACCAGACGGAGGAAGTGTTTCAGCATTTTCTAATGCCGTCTGCCTTTGAGGATTTGCAGAAGACAATATTTCAATAACATCTTCTTCAGAATCATTTGGACAGTTTTGTTGAGATTTTGCACCATCCATAGTCAAATTTTGGACAGAATCTTCTTTTGGCATGCATGGTACTTGGAGCTGAGATGATTCTTTACGTCTGTCTTTACTAGTGACTCTCTTTTCATACGAATGATCAATACTACTTTGCAGTTTTGGGGAATTGCTGGTTTCATTCTTTGAATGTTTCGTAAAAAGAGACTTCTTCTTCCGGACATTTTCTTTTTGATTTGTGTCATTTTTGTCATTCATCTGAGATACTCCATCTACATCTTCTATGTTTTTCTGATCTAGACTCATAAGACCACAGGACTTTTGGGAAGTTTGAGAAGATTGATTGGACAGATGGGACTGACTATTTTTTGATCTGACTCTCATTGGACTTCCTTCAAGAGAAAAACATTTGCGTTTTTTCCGGCGCACATTGAGTTCATCTTCACTGCTACCAACTACATTAGTTTCTGCAATAATCAAGTCGGATTGTTGAGATTTAGAATCAGGTGCTAATGAGTCACAACTGTTTTGGGAAGGTGGCGTTCCAGACCGACTTTGTTTCTTCAGAGATGAAAAAGTTCTTTTCCTCTTCAATAATGAACTCTCTGAACCACTAAAATCCGAGGGTACCCCTGGTGAAAGTCTCTCCAAACCAACATTTGAACATTCTTTTGATGGATGGCTTTTTCGGCTGTCTTGATGTTGGGTAGGTTTGGCCAGGTCTATCAGCTTCTTTGTATCAGGTTTAAGCAGGGATTCACTAGCAGATTCGGTTTGGCCTGAAGGATTTGATGCTATTTCATCATTTTGTACTTGTCTGTCTTTGTTCAGTTTCTTTTTTAACTTAAACCCGGAACTATGGCCATCATCAGATCGTTCATCACCTACATGAAAAAAAAAATCAGAACTGTAAAATGAATAGAGTTTTACATCCCACAGGACAGTGACATTGGCCTGCTCTTTTACAATTTCCAACTGTCGAGGGATCTTTATTGTGCGCAGCCTGTAGCACACAGGGCTCTCAATAGGGCTGTCTTTAGAACCTAACTGAAGTGGCTGAATTAAAAAATTAAAGCTAATAAAAAAAACAAACAAAAGTTTGGTCTAATTAATCACCTGCCCTTGACAACAGCAAATCATGGTTGACGTCTCCATTTTCTTTACCTTTGTCAATTTTTTTCACAGAGCCTGAAAAGAGAAGATTTCCTTACAGTTCTTGTTTAAGACTAAAACCAAACAAGATAGGGGAAAAGACTAAATGAAACTACAGATGCCAAGAACAAAATTTATTTTTAATGTTTTACATCAAAATTTTGAAATTTGCTATGATCAGAAACATATCCGTGATTCTAAAATTTCCTCATGATTCATTGCTCTTTTGATCTTCATAAAGTATAATTTCTGTACCTGCTGTGGTCAGATCTTGGGTTTCCATCCAATCATCATCCAGCTTATCAGACTCCCTCCGTAGCTCTTTCTGACTCTGGGTTAATTTCCTCTCAACCATTGGTGTTGGTGGAATACACGTCAGGCTTTGCACAGAATCATTCAATGATTGGTCTGATTCATCAGTTGATCTTAAAATAGCTTGTATGGACTTAGTCTTTCTACCCTTCTTTTTCTTGGGAATCTTCTTTACATTTCTGATGTCTCTTTTGGACTCTTTTGAGGATGAACTTGGAGAGGGTTCTATGGAAGATTCAGAATGAAGCCTTTGCTGCTGATCCTGTGGTTATCAGATGATGTATTTAGTGGCTGAAAAGGTATTAAAACCGAGAAAAGTGGCGCGCTATAAGAAATATGCTCACTGATCAAAGCGTCTTCTGCCACTGCTGTTCTTCCTACATTTGGCTGCTTGTTACCATTTGAGTCTGATGGAGACGGTGCAGTGTGTGTACCAGATGTTCTCAAGTTGTCAGCACCCCTTCTGTTCGAGGAACTCTGACCATCTTTGCACTGTGATGGTGAATACAGAAGCGGTGTCGAGAGATCTTTAACTGGTTTTCTGATAAAACCAGGGTCCTGATCATCCATATTTAGAATTTCAGCTTTTGAAGTTGCATTACCAATACCACTAAAAAGAAAATCTGCCTCGTTGACCAATTCATTTCCGAACTCTTCTTTGGTTGATTCACTAACTTTGTCCTTACCCAATGAAGAAATGAGATCAGCTGATGGTCCAAACAGTGAAGATCTATTAGAATCTTGAGCTTCATCTTTATGTGGAGAACCTTCTTTCGTTGTCAAGATACCCTTTGGACCACTTTGATCCATTTCATAATCTTCATGCAAATGGGTTCCATTAACATCTTCAATTTCATCTTCTTTATTCATGTTGGTGCTATCTTGTTGTAATTCCAAACTATCCCTAAAATTATTATTCAGAAGGATGCTGTTTTCATCTCCCAAACTGGTATCATTGTTAGCATCAACAGTAGTCTGGTCTACATCTTCATCACTCCGCCGTATAAGTACAGAGTCCTCAACAGCTTCTTCATCTGAGTGGCTTTCCTCAATGGCATTAACTTGATTATCTTCAGTGTTCTCTACTATGTCAGAGATAGTATTTGGTATTTCATGATTGCCTGCTATGGTTGTATCATTTACAGCAGGCTGGCTGTCCATACTAGAATAGGCTTCTTGGGTACTGAACATGAAGTCGTGATCCTCAGCATTATTAATCTTGTTCATCAACTGCAACATTTCGTGTTCTCGATTCTCTGGTTTCTTTGGATTTTTTCGTCTGTCTCTTTTAGCTTTATGTTTAGCTTTAGTCTTATCTCTTGTGTTTGTCCTTGGCATAAGATCAGCATCATTGGATGTGATAGGCTGTCCATTTGACATCTTAGTACAAGGCAGTGAGGTTAAAACATTAGCAGTTGAAGCTTCAGTTTGGTATTTGGTTGTTTTTATTGATTTTTGATCACTATTAGACAATTTGTCTAATGATTTTCGCTTCCTTCGAGGTCTTGTTGAGCTTGATGAATCAGAACTTCTACTTTCACTCACAACTAACAATCTTGTTGATCCTTTACTTTTCTGTAGGCCTTTTGAGGTGCTCATGGGTTGAATAGCATCTCCCGGTTTATTATCCATTGATTCTTCTGGGCAATCTTTAGTTGTGGGAATACATTTGTTTTGTGATTTAGAAGCTGATCCAACAACATCCCTAACTTTTTTGCTATTCAATTTTTGAGTTTGTGACTCAGGAGGTATACCATGGGAATGGTCTCCAATTGGCGGAGAACTGGATATCTGATTAATTTCCTTTGTAACATTTAAAGATGAAATCATTTTAGGTGTAGTCAAGGTTTTACCACTACTATCTGCATATGGACCTCTCTTACCAGTACCAGAAAACAGCTCCTGAGTGTGACTGCAGCTGGGCAAATTCATATTTCTGGGAACTTGAATGTGACTATGATTTGATGAATCAACTAGCTGCTTTCTTGGTGAACTAGATTTCATATGTTCAGCAGTATTTTTTTCAGAATCACCATGAACATGTCCTGAACACAATTCTGGGGAATCAGAAACTGGTGTCTCTTGGATGACCTGCTTTTCTGATGAAGAACCTGCTTCATCTTCTTCCACAGAGTCAGCAATGCAACTGATATCAGTTTCAGTTGTTAATGGAGACTGAGGTTTGTTTACTATGATTTTTATGGAGGCTTCAGTTGTACATTGGGGAAGGTTGGAGTCTTCCATTGGATCAAGTGGTTCTTCTGTCTTCTGTATACTCTGGGGATGGCGTAGTTCAAGTTGGTTCTGATCATCTTGAGAAGTAGAATCTTCAATTAATATCGATTCAGAATCTGAATGAGTGCTGTCTTGGGTGATGTCTATCACAACGGGTTGAGTTTCTGCAAAAGTCACAAATCTTCGGATTTTTTCTTTGCTGCTTTCCCTTGATGACTTCTGGTTCTCTTTCAGAATTTCTAAAGCTGCTTTCTTTCCCAGCATAGCTAAGCGGTTTGATTTCTTGGCAGGTTTTCTTTGTTTTACTTGTTTCCTCTTCCTATCTTTGGGAGTCTGACTGCTTTTGAATTCAAAAGGATCCATTATTATATTAGGAGAAGGAGTAGGTTTTACAATTCTAGCTGTGATGAAGTCAGCTGTATTAGTGATTGGCTTTATGAAATTCCTGTTACTTCTGGGTGACTTTCTATTTTCTAAGCTCATGTGAAGTTTACCTTTAGCATCCATTTTGACTTTGACTTTTCTATTGTGGCTGGTCTTTTTGGGAATGTATCCAGATGACCTTGACATCAGAGAAGTATCTAATGATTCATTAAACGGAGTTGGAAGAAGCTTACCACGTCCATACTTCAATGGTGTACCATTAGCAGATACAGGGGTGCTCTTACTGATGACTCTTGGAGGTGTTGAAGTATCAATTTGAACTGTTGGCATTCTACTTGCAGAAGAAGCTTTTCTCTTTGGGCTAATTGGACTTCTAGGCATCCTTTGTCGTACAGATGGTTTTGTTGAAACATCCTTAGAATGCAACTCATCAGCCAGGTTAGGATTCACTGGTCTTTTGCGCTGAAGGTTTTTAACACCATCTTTAGCAAGGTTTTTAGTATTAAATCCAAATGCTGAGCTATGGTATTCAACAGTAGTGGCATTAGAATCTTCAATTTGATCCACAACATCACTGTCACAACTCTCTGACTCCTGAGGAACAGCTTCTTCATCTGAAGGAACAATTTGTTTCCAAGTTTCATCTTCCCTAGTTTTCTTGACCAGGCTTCCTTTACAAATTTTACCATAGGTTCTTGTTACCAATTTGGGAGTTTTTACCCCTCCTTGAGTCAAACAGGATGTTTCTGGACTACCCGTATCTTTTTTTTCCTGGATTTTTTTTAAACGATCAGACATTCTCCGCATTGATTGTTGTTTCGCTGATCTAGATTTCTTGCGATTTGGATCTTTTGATGGGCTATCATAAAATTTTACATCATAGCTGACATTGGAGCTTTGAGAGGTTTGATGCATTTGTGAACCGGTTTGGATGGTTTCTGGGATGACATCATCATCTGTTGTTACAGACGGTTCATATTCTTCAGAATCACTGTGTATCTTTCTTCTCCTGGTTTTCTCTTTTGGCTGTCTAGCCTTCGCTAAATTTTTACTGCTAGAAATATTTTTCGATTTTGGACAACACTCAATCAAGATTGGTTTTCTGGATTGAGCTTGATCCTGCATGATAACTTTAAGGCTTGTGGAATTCTCAACAGTTTTTGTGGAAGTTCTGATTCCTGATAAAGATTCATTACTGTCCATCGGGGAATTTTTCAATACAGAATAAATTCTAGAGTCTAAATCATCATGCTTTTCTAAAAAAGAACAATGATCTAAAGGCTCCTCTTCAGCTCCTTTTGACATTACTGATGACCTTGCAGGAAAATCATTATTTAAAAGTGAATCCATATGAGAAGATTTAAAAGACACAATATTCTCAACTTGTTCTGGATTGATAAACTTTTTATTAGAATCTTCCGTCACATGAAGAAAACTGGATTGAGTACTGGCAGTATTTGCTCCTAATGATCCATCTTCTAGGACAATCAGCAGTTCATCAGATACTGTCACAACACAAGACTTTCTTTTGGATTGCCTAATATTAGACTTTGCAGCGGTGGTATGCCTGGCTGACTTAGCCACTCCTAATGGTTTTTCTGTTCCAGATTGATTTATATTATTACTGATAAGATCTTTACAATTTTGATGTTTGCCCGAAAGAGAAATGATTTCATTGGCATCATCATTTCCAATGTCTTGGGCATAATGGACAGAGTCTTTTGAATTAAAATTAGAAGACTCCATGACAGATAACCCATGATTCTTTTGAAGACGAAGACAAGCACTCGTGGGGCTTGTGGTTACTTTTTGCTGTTTTTGACAGGACAGTAACCTTTCAGTAGTAGCACTATTGGTTGGTTTTGACGTTCGAGTAGGAGCTGACGCAAGAAACTTAGTCCTATCAGTACCTGATCTTTGGTATTTTTGAGAAGGTTCAATACAACTGGCACATAAGTTGGGAACTTCTTTAGGAGTGCCACAATGAGGAACTCTGGAAGAAGTATTACCTTTGTCATGCTTCGACACACCATTCTGAAGTTCAGTTTGTGCTTGGTTGGATTTCCTGAAGAAAAAAAGGTTTTTGGTAACATTTGGTTACATATGACTTTGATTCTCTCAAAAGCAAAACTATCTTGAAGACAAAGATAAATGAAATGAAATGGAATTTTACATCCTATTTTTCTGCACCATGTGTGCTAATGAAGACAGACATCATGCAGTGTGGAATGAAAGAAATTTTGCCAGGACAGAGGCATTAGCCTTCATCTCTTTTGATTTCCAACCGTTGAGGGTCTTCAAAAGAGCACAGCCTGTAGCACACAGGGCCTTGGTTTATTGTCCCATCAGACAAAGACTAACAACTGTGTAAAAATAGTACCCTTTGAAGCTATGGATAATTGTGCTTATTTCAAATTGACTTTATAGCATTAGGATACCTTAAATGGATTGGCAAGGTTTTCTAAATTTTTTATGTCAGGGACACTGATAGCATCAATTTACACCATTTCAATATTCGATCAGACATCTGTGGTTCCTCTGCAATTCCACTAGAACTAAGTATTTGATGAGGTCACTTAAGGGCCTTAAGTGATAAAGCATATTTTGCAATTAAGTGTCCTCTAGTCTTAGTGGAATTGCAGGAACCACAGACCTCTGATGGAATGGTATCAGTGTCTCAAGTACACATAAAAAATTTTGAAAACCTCTTTACAATTCCTTTAAATCAGATATAACTCTGTGAGTTAAGGTTGAATACCTTCTAGTTGAAGTTTTAACTGTTCTCTGTAAATCACTTACATCATCATTGTCTGAAAGATTAGAAGAATACTCAATTTCAGCTATCATTATCACTTTAAAACGAAAAACTGATGTTTCTCCACAATTCTCACTTCATGATACAGCGCTCATGATGACAGAGAAAATGAATAAACTTCTTGACTGATTGAAATGAAATGAATGGAGTTTTACCTCCTACTTTCCTGATGGACAGCAGCAATAGCCCGCTCTTTAACGTGCATAGCCTGTAGCACACAGGGCCTTAGTTTATTGCCCCATTTAAACAACTAGACAATTTACTTTCCATGTCAGGAAACCGTGATGAAAAATCCTAAGGTATTATCTTGACAGGATTAAACCCTGGACCTACAGGTTAGCAAGCAAGCGTCAAACTCACTGAGCCACTGTGGCTTCCCTTGACTGATTGAAGATGAGGACAAACCCATAGAAACATACCTGACTCAGATGGCACAAGACTAAAATTACTACTGATTCTACCAGAAACCTAAAATAACACAATATTTTAACTACGAATCTAGAAATAAAGGTTCCAAGCCTTCTCTTCTAGGCACTTTTTTGGTTAAGTTTGAGTATAGGTTATGCAAGGATTAATCAAGAAGAAGCTTATTCAAGACAACAACTTCAAATAATCTACTCTTTCCCCACTTTTAATACGCCCACATGAAATGTCGGTCCGTCCACAATTGCTCGTGAACACTCTAGGTGACACAATTCTTGACCGATTTTGATGAAACTTGGCATGAGTGTTTGTAATCACCCAAGGATGAACCCTATTGAAAATCAGAATAATCACCCCAAAAAGTTCAAAAGAAGTGTATGACTGAAGGTTGAATATTTCATACTAGTAATTGTTAATGTACTGCCAAATATTTTTATTGAAAATCAAAGCTTCCAGTGGGCGTATATTACCTTGTCGAACAAGCTATCTTATTAGCTGAAAGACAAATACAATAGGGCAACAGATCAATAGACCTACCTGATTTCTGGATGTGGTTTTAGATGATTTTGTTTTAGAACGTAGTCGAGTGTGGTTCAATGGTTCTGGAGTGGCAGGAGAAAAACATTGTATTAATGGACCTTTTGGAGGAGTAACTGGAAAATCAAAAACAATATTTTTTGTGTTTTAGATATATAGTTATCTTAATAATAATCACTTTAATCAAGCAAATCTCAGCCATCTCTGACACTTTTGAGAATTGAAATCCAGAGATGGTTTGACTACAAATAAACCATTATTGTGAATGATTAGGCTGTCATCACTTTCAGGCATTCCTGCATTAAAAGAGATAGATTTGTTATTGTCAGGGGTCGATTAGAGTCTTGAATATATATAAATAGTCTTCAGAAGTACTAGAAATGTATGAAAATCACATAATTCCTTAATTTCACTTTCTATATGTATTTTTCCTATATATGGCAGTGTCTAAAGAAACGACGAATCGTCTTTTTAATTTTCATAATTCTGGATTTGAAGTTTCAAATTTCGACAGTGAGCTGTAAACACTATAACTGATTTACATAGCTTAAAAAATTTGGTTTCTGACACTAAAGTATGATTGGTCAACAAAATCCTGCATCGGTCCCTTTAAACACAGGTTACATTTTTTGGTTACATCAATTTACTTACAGATATCTCCAGAATCTTCCTGGAAGGCTGCAATTAAATCTCCTATATTCTGCACAATAATAGCAAGTTCCTCTCTTTCTTGTAAACTCCTATACAATAAAAAAATCTTGTTAAGTCATATTATAGTCTGAAACTTCTGCTTCTGTGGATATTTTGACAGTTTTTGACTGCAGTAGACAGAAAAACTAGGCCCTGTTTTACGGGGATCTTCTACACCTGGGAAGATGCATTTTATTCCAACATAATATTGAATTACCATTACCGTGACTGTAAAATTAGTGTTGGACATTTCCGTAACTTTCATTTTGTTAGTATCACATGTTTCTGTGACCCTTGAACTACAATCGTTCTGGATATATCTGGCTTTGTTGAATCCGAGTGAACTCGGTATAAAACCCCAGCACTTTCGGAGAAGAAGAAAATACCCATTTAACAGATCCTAGACTTTCTGTCTCTTCACCAGCTGATAGCTTTCAATACAGCTATAATGGGCTGGAATAGAGAGACAACATTTTATCTCTGGTTCTTTTTTCAAACACTAGGACAATGAGATGCCTTTCGAGTTTCGACACATTTGACAGCTCATTCTTTACCTTTCAGTGACTGGCTTTTTACACAAAGGACATGGTACTGATCTCTTCTTGTTTAGAAACTGGATGATACAAAACCTGCAAGAATAAAGATGAAAAGTAGGTTTAACATGTCATGATGATTAACAATATTGTCAATTAAATAAGGGATCCATCTATATTGCAATTCAGCAGTTTAAAATATTCCAGTAATACACTATCAAATATAGGCCTACAATTTGATTTGATTCTCAGATCAAAATGTTAAATTTCAATCTTAATCAAAGGAAATATTGGAATCGCGATACTGTTAAATTAAACCTGCTGTGCTGAGTCTGAAAAATTTTGTTCAAATTAAGAGTGTTGTAGTGTTGTAACTCTATAGTTTGCCAACATTCTAATGAGTCAACATACCTGCAAAACTGATGTTCACATTTTGTGGACACTGGATTTTTTAATAACTCTAGGCTAAAAAAGAAAAAAAACGAATGGAGCTGTATATCCTACTCCCGTGCATCTAATTTGGCTAATTATGATGGGCAATGTAATGCCATGTGCAATTAGGTAAATTTTGCCAGCACAGTAGCAGCCTCTTGGACCTGCATCACTGACAGGGGAAACAGGATTGAAAGATATGAAGGTATTAACTTGACCTATGCTGGGAAATGAACCATGGACCTTCAGACAGGTAAGCAAGCAAACATCTACTTACTACACCCCCCCCCCCTTTAAAAAATGTAATATCGTTACCAAATTGAGCATTCCAGATTTTTTGTCATCATTCCCAACACCTCTTGAATTCTTTTTTTATCCATTATGTAGCGATTTTTATTTTCAAATCAGGACATTAAGTTATAATTTTGAGTTTATCTATTTTCAATCATTACGGAACATTCTCCCGCAAAATCCTCATATCTCCCGCCATAGACGGTATCTGATTTTCAAACATTAAAGAACTTTCCTGCAAGGGGAATAACTCTGATTTGTTATTTTTTGGGGTAGTCTAGGATTTTTTTTTGTTTTGTCTGCAGCAAAATGTCAAAAACTTTTACTGTTGTGAATAAGATATATACAATCATTATGGAACATTGATTCTGAATTGCTTTCCGATAATAGCAGGCGAAAATGGCATCCTCAGAAACACCAAACGCTTTGCTAAAAAGGAGCAAAAGAAGTGTTGCTACATATTTTCGTGGTGAATATTCTCGAAATAACAATTCGCCTCAGAAATTGAATGAATTTCTCGATTCAATTTTAAATCCATTGGAAAAGATTGATGATCCTGATAAAATTGAGTGGTGTAAATGGCTAATTTCTGGTGGGGTGACATTTGACGAATTTTCAAAGACAGGTAATTATCTATTTGGCATACTGTTGCATTACTAATGGACCTTAAAATAACCCAGAAGGAAGAACAATAATCCATCCTGAAAAGGCAAAATTTACTAAATTTAAGTATGATAGTTGAAATGCTATATGGGCACATGAACAGTCTTGGTCACAGATTTTTGTCTTCCATGCCAAGCTTACCGTGTTATCGACAGGATTTATAATATCAACCAAGACCGTTCGTGTACCCACTATAGGCCTATGAAGAAATGTTTTTATTATTCTATTTTTAGTCGGTCAATATGATGATGCTGTCACCTGTGGCCTAGTATGGACGTCTAATTTTGTGGCCTATAGATGTCGTACATGTGGTATATCACCATGTATGTCACTATGTTTCGAATGTTTTCAAGGCGGTAATCACGAGGGTCATGATTATAATATGTTTAGGAGCCATGCTGGAGGAGCATGTGATTGTGGAGATATCAGTGTTATGGATGAAAAGGGGTAAGTCTATTCGAAAACATTTACTGTACCCCGTACCTCTATTCCAGCCTCAAATAGATATTTTGACAGTTATCGCCTGGAGTATAATCAGAAAAACTAGGTCCTGTTTTAAGGGGATTTTACTCATGGCTTTAGTTGTTGTTATTATTACATTGGATAAACATTAGTCTGGAAAATCTACCGTACCTCTATTCCAACCTCAAATAGATATTTTGACAGTTAATGGCTGGAGTAAAGTCAGAAAAACTTGGCCCTGATTTAAGGGAATTTTTCACACCACAGAAGATGCATTTTTTCTAACAGAATATCAAATTACCTTGACGATGACTGTAAATTAGTATTGGGTATTGTTGTAACTTTCATTTTAGTATCATTTGACTCTGTGACTCGTAATTTTAAATTGCAAACGGTCAATGGCTTCCTTTTTTTTTTGTAGATTTTGCTGTCGTCATGGCCCATCTAGGAAAACCAAGAATCTGTCACCGCCAGCTGATCTGATGTTTGCAGCTGAAATAATAATACCAAGATTAATCATGCGATTACTATATCATCTGCGAGATAGTTCACAAGCTCGTAAGTTTTTAAAGATGTATTCTCTTTTTCTCATTAATGAAAATGAAAATGCTAATAATTATATGAATAGAAAGTAGAGATGTTCTAATGACTTAATACCAGTTTGTCTCACATGTCCATAATTAATTCATTATTAGCTAAATTAGAAGAGAATAACCAACAGAATTCCAATAAGTGACCGATCAAGAAAGGTCAAAAAGTCTTTTTTTTTGTTTATCCAGACTGTACATACATGGACATTTATGATTGGTTAAAACTCTTAATTATATGCAATAAGAACATAATGATATGAATAAGAATGCATGATAATTCATTAGAAACACCAATTAGTCAAATAGTTTGCTTAATTTGACAATGATAAATAAAGAAATCCATCTATAAATGATGTTAAGTTCTATTAGTAACCCCAGTCTCAGTCTAATTAAGATTCGACCAAACTTTAGTTACTTTTCTTTTATTAGCTTTTAACATTGATAGTTAGAGTCTAACAAAAGCCTTCTTGATGGTTCATCAAATTATGATTGATTTCCACTTTTTGATAGATGCTCCAAGTTATGCTGCACCATATCTAGCCATGGTGGAGTGTGAAAAGTTTGTAGATTTCTTACATTCATTAGCTGATATGGGAGCTGCCATGAGAAAAGTTATTGCCAAGTCTTTAACTAATCCACAAATTTATGAAAAAATGACTACTGGTATGTAGCTTTTACAAATTCTTTTTCTTCATTTACTTGATCTGTGTTGGGGTCTGCTCGATTGGTGAGTTCTGCACGTTCTGGATTCATAGAATCAATTTGACATTCAATAAAACAAGTTGGAACAGAGTTCAGAACGTGTTCCAAATGTTCCCGAAAAAGAGTAGGTGCAGACAGAATTCAAATGGCTGAGAAGGAAATAGATAGGAAAATTTCAAATGTGACATTATCCGATTTCGTAACGTTCGATTGAGGCCAATCTAGAACAGAAAAACAAAAGAATTTAATATGTTTATGAGATTTGGCAGAAAAGAGCATTTTGTTCTTTTTCTGCTTGAAATTGTGAAGCTTTCATGAATTAAAGGGAAATCGCATAATTCTTTCAAAATTATCTCAAACTAGGAATTTCTTTTCCTATTTCTATAGATGTCTTTTATGGCAGTGTCTCAAGATAATTTTTGACATTAAGCTCAAATTTTGACGGTGAGCTGTAAACACTCTTACTTATTAGCCTAGCTAAAAAATCCATGTTTCTGTGATTAAGGTACGATTGATCTAAGAAATGGCGCATCTTTCCCTTTAAGACATACACCTTGTATTATTTCAGTTATTGAAAAAGAAGATGAAAGTAATAGATATTTTGTACAGAATCAGAAATCTTATCAAACTATGATAAATATGACTCTTTATCCAGATAGTTTTAATAGGTATCACGGTAAGTTGAAGCATTTATTCTCAGATTTGCCTAGGGGTGGGATAGAATAACAAACCAGCAAACATGACTCTTTATCCAGATAGTTTTGATAGGTATCATGATAAGTTGAAACATTTCTTCTCAGATCTGCCTGGGAGTGGATAGAATTACAAGCCAGCAAACATGACTCTTTATCCTGATAGTTTTAATAGGTCCCATGTTAAATAAAGCATTTCTTCTTAAATCTGCCTTTCTATGGTGTTCTTGAATTAGGTTGGATAGAATTACAAACCAACAAACAAGACATAACGAAGTATGCTTGGTAGGTAGGTAGGTAGATGACAAGTTAACGTTCGCTTCCAGCGGATGCTGATATCGCAAACTAGGTAGTTGTTGGTAGTCGTAGTAGTTGGTAGTTGGATTACGAAGTATGCTTGTATTTGGATTGCTTTATATATCAAAATGATTGACAGCTTTAACTTATTACACTGTTTTATCCAATGTAATGAAAGCTTGTGCAAGTCAGCATTGCAATAACATCAAAATATACTGGTTGTAGCATACCTAAGCTCCACCTATTTCCCTCTTAGATTCTATTTAGCTTTCATATTAAGTTATCCATGTATGGAACAACAACAAATTGCTGATAGACCATGCTTTTCCTCAAACACACATTTAAAGCAGTTTATTTCTTAAAAATTTCAATGGAAAAAATGCAATTTATGTTACAATGACTTTTTAAAGAAATAAATATCATTTCTATTACAGGTAAAATCGGATTAAGTCAGAGATTAAGTCATGAAAGTTTATTAGATGAATTAATATTTTGGAGTGTTCGCTATTATTTTCCTACTAATATTAATACATTGTTATTAAAAATGTTACCAGAAGATGAGTATAAGGTAAGAATTATGATCAGGGATTGTAATAGAGCTGGGCAATATCGGTGTCATGATAAATACTGTTATAGTAATTGATATTGTTAGTAATATCGCCTGATGAAATTTCGTGAAATCTCGTCAAATATATATACACCCATATCGTGATTTATCACAAAACAGTACTGTTCTCAAATTCATAGCACAGATTCATAAAAACGATATAAACTCCTAGCACAGGTTGATAACTGTGCAAAGTAGGTCACATATGCATGCACCGTGTAAACAAACCACATGCCATCCTTTTTAGGTCAGAGGGCCATTGGACCAAAGAACTTCCCTTATGCCTGTGAAAGGTCTTTTTTTAAAGTGAAAATTAAGCCCTCTAAATGCTTAAAAGTCATTTCAGGCCATCTGCCTCTTGCAGCCCCAGACCCCATGACGTTTTGTCCAATTTATACAAATTTTCAGTGCCATTCATTTTGAAAATATATTAACTGAGGAAATATTGTATCAATTCCATTTTTTTCTATTTATTTTAGATTGCCTTTGCTAAAGGTTATGTGAAACATTACAGTCGAATGTCCTTACTGCTATCTGAATCTAGAGAGAGGGTCAAGGTTGCTAATCGCGTGGTACATATCAGCGTACAGTTATTCAGTAACGAGGTTCTGGCATACAAGATGTGTGAAGATTATAATTTATTGTATATAATGGTATTAAGTTTAACTCACATGTTGGAGAATGTTACTATTAATAGTACTTTGGAAGGTTGGTTTGACTCTTGATTTTTACACGTTTATTCGGACACTTGTTGCTAATGCTAATAGATCTGTAACACCAAACTGCGGCCATTTGCAATCTTACAGTGACTGGAGATCGTCGTGTTCGCGGTCAAACATGAGGAATATTAGAGAAAAGTCCCTAAAAAATTACAAACTTTAAAACAGTCAAGCTTATACCACTAGTTATGCGGCCATATTGTTGTTTTCGATGCGACAAAGTTATTAGAATAGTTTGGCTGATGCTTGAATCTTCCATGATCGAGACGTGGCACATTCTTCTTAGCCAAAAACAGATTCTTAATGCGCACTGGAGCTCTCCACCTAGTGTCCTTAAGGTGCGGGCACATGAGAGGTCTTGGTTGGAAAATAATCTGATTTGATCATGACGGTCTGCCTTGCAGACGATAAAACTATCAGAGACAATTATCAAACTTGTTTGATATTATAAATCCTGTAGAAGACACGACAATCTTGTCATGGAAGCAGGGGCGCACAGGCAAGATTTTACTCAAGATTCAAGTCCAAAATCTCCGACCAAGACCGCTCATGTGCCGCACATTAAACAAATAACTAGATGCTTTACAGACGGGATGTTTTGGACCACCCCTTATGTTAATAAATTAGGCTTAAATCATGTTTCAGTTTCAGTTATATTTATGTTTCTATTGTAGATATGACACCAGAACAGAATTTCCATGCTGTAGTTGATTGTAGTCATGATATTATGAAAGATCACTGTTATTGGTCTATCATGACTGATTTTAATAATTTACTATCACATCGGTCTATAGCTTTAAAATTCCTACAAGATGAAGAACTTGTTACTCTGTGGATTGATATGATAGTCTATCTTCAAGGTTAGAAAATTAACCATATAATAATAGAACTTAAAGTGACAGGTGCGCCATTTTGGAGGGTTTGATTTGAGTCTTGAATATATATAAATAATCTTAAGAAGTTTTAGAAATGTAAAAAAAATATCTCAAACTAGGAAATTCTTTTCCTAATTTATAGATGTTTTTACTTTATATGGCTTTATATGTCTCAAGAAAAGAAGAGTCATTTTTTTAACATTCAAATACATAATTCTGGACATACATGGATTTGAAGGATCAATTTTTGAATTTTTTTTCATAAAATTTTATGGCTTTTAATTTTTTCTCATATTCTGCACCATAGTGGGCTGTGAAGAGAGATTATTAAGCATTGATTGACCAGTGGTTATTTTAAAGAAAGGAGACAACTCAATGGCCCTTTTCAAGCCCCCCCCTCACCTAATGGAAACAAACGAGAGTTATCCATAACGTATTATTTTATTACCATTTTTTTCAGGAATGAATCTGAATCAACGAGAACTATTTCAACATGTAGAATTTGAACCAGACAGTTACTACGCAGCTTTTACTGCTGAATTAGAGTTATCTGCTCTTCCTATGTGGTCTATATTGTCTCACTGTAAAACTTCTGTAAGTATCTCTAAGGGTGCGCTCAATTGGTGCACATTCTGGATTTATGGAATCAACAAGAACGTTCATTAAAACAAGATGGAACGCGTTCCAAGTGCCCCAAAAATAGCAGGTGCAGACAGATTTCAAAATGGTGGAGGAGGAAATAGATGAGAAAGTTATGAATGTGACATATACGCTTGCTTACTGTTCGATTGGGGGACAAAATAAGAACAGATGGAACCTCTCGAAATGAGCGCCACCTGAATTTCTCATAGATATTTTGGACTGCCATGTACTAGCTGTACAGTAAAAATACAAATTTGAATTCCACCATAATTAGTTCTGTAGCTAACAATACATGCATAATTCCAAAACATCTTCTAGAACACCTGATATTAAATATTTTACAGGAAACATCCAGTTTAAGTCTACGAATGATAGCAGCCTGTCAGACAGCTCTACAAGATTGGTTTGATGCTATCAACTGTAAAGAAAGCTCCAAGGTAATGTACTATCATGTCCAACCCCAATTCGTCATACTTTCTCAAGACCGTGATAATACAAGTGAGAGAAATTACATATTGTCTGTAAAAGTTCGTAAAATTTTAACCAATCAAATCACTACTAAGAGGCTTTGCTCGTGAACGTAAATAAAACAAAAGCAGCATTTAATGTTTGATTAATATGGACATACAGAATTGAGTAAGATTTTCGGTAATGAATTAAAGTTGACAGAAATTTTACTTTGGAAAGGATGTGTTCTTATCTCTTCAAATGGCTGCAAATCGATTTTGTGTTTTGTTTACATGATAAGATTTGATTGGTCAGATATAAATAGCACCAATCTCAATTTTCACGCTAATTTGCAAGACAATGATAAGATCAGGAGTATTTGCTCTGAAGGCTTGTCCATTGCATCTATTTAAGAATTAACGTTGGTCTCACTGGCATTATTGGTGTGTAAACTCACTAGATCACATGATAAACTGAAGTATGTAAGTTAGTGGCGTGATAAATTCCATTTACACACCAATAAAGCTAGTGAGACCAACGTTTCATTCTTATATTTATATTCAGATACTTTTATTAATACAATTTCACTGAATTTGCTGCAAATCTGTCACGTGAGAAAGTACAGTTTATCGAAAAATAAACACCAGTTTGCGTAACTGGTTTATAAAAGAGAGTGACAGTAGAATATTCATTCAATAATTCATTCTTTGTTTTCAATGCTATAAACACTAAACCCTATCAGCACCATATAATACACTAAACCCTATCAGCACCATATAATACACTAAACCCCTATCAGCACCATATAATACACTAAACCCCTATCAGCACCATGTAATACACTAAACCCTATCAGCACCATATAATACACTAAACCCCTATCAGCACCATATAATACACTAAACCCCTATCAGCACCATATAATACACTAAACCCCTATCAGCACCATATAATACACTAAACCCCTATCAGCACCATATAATTATTTTCATCTATTACAGCCCAACCCCAATCAGCTCAGTTTTCACCTACCATTACACCGGTATCTGGCTGTCTTTATGATGCAGGCTGTACAGAATCAAGGTATAGAGCTCACCACTATTATACCTGATGAAGATTCTTTGAAGAAAATATTGATACATGTTCTACAGATACAGGTAAATAGTCTCAGTGATTCCTGGTAATTTTACAGAACTGGTTCCATGCCTCTGTTATAAAGACGGTTATCAAAGTTATCAATCGGTACATCACCTAGGCACAGCTCTATGAAGATTTAGGGCTTATGAACACCTTTAAAGAGATTGTAAAGAGTTTCCAAATTTTTTATGTATATCGGGGCCACTGATAGTATCAATTTGTGATTCCTGCAATTCCACTAAATTTTAGTGGACTACATAACGTCTGTAATTGTGAAGGGTATTATGTTATATAGCAAGTTTTGTCATTGTGAGGTTCTATAGCACAGTCGGTCTAGATTGGCGTGTGATAGTCTTTTGACCATGAATAAGTCATCTTCACTCATAATTCCAGTCGATCCAGCTGTTTGACCAGTGACCAGCTGGTAGAAAGGATCCTTAACTGTGAACCTAAGTTGTTATCCTTGTAAAATATAGTTGTTTCTTTCTTTCATAACCAACAGGAAACTGTGCTAGTCTTGTTCTTAATTCATCACAATCATCAATTCCATCAAAGATTGTCCTCCTAATTAATTCCCTCAATGATGAAAGATATTACAGATCTTTTCTTTTGTAGGTATGTCTGTCACAGATACATGCAGGTCTTTGGGTGAGAAATGGTGTCCAGATTAGAGGTCAAGCTATGACCTATGTCCAGTCTAACTTCTGTTATTCTTTATCAGATCTAGATATACACCTTATACAGGTAATAGTTCTTGTTTTAAAGAGATTATAAAGTGGTTTTCTTAATTTTCTGTGTGTATCCAAGACACGGACAGCATCAATTTGCACAATTCCAATTTTCAATCAGACATCTGTGGTTCCTGCAATTCCACTAAAACTAAGTGTTTGATGACACTAATTGCAAAGGGCCTTATGGTTTTTTTTATATTATTTTAGGTTTGTGCATCTAAACTTGATCCAGATTATTTTGTCAGTTATGTTTTAAAAAGGTAAGTCTCAAACCAAACCGTTCTTATGATTTAGGTACTTTGATTGGCTGTCATGTTTTACCATTTAAGTACAATGTATTTGATTGGCTGTCATTCTTTTAATTAAGGTACAATGTATTTGATTGGCTGTCATTCTCACCAACATCTAGCTATAATACTATACCCCTAACTGATGATCAAGAAATCAACATGGTGGAAAGTGTTTTAGCTTTTTTTACAGCACTAGTTAGCACACGCACATATTTAGGTAAGTTTTGGTTTGTGGGATATATATCATAAGACCACATTTCTATTTCCAAAATTTGTGTGAACTAGGAGATTATCCACTAAAAGTTGCAATAGTATGGGTGCGCTTGATTGGTGAGTTGTGCACGTTCATGGATTCATGGAATCAACAGAACATTCAATAAAACAAGTTGGAACAGAGTTCTGATTGTGTTCCACGTATTCCGAAAAATTAGCAGTACTCTCATGTTCAGTACACGATGTGAAAAAACAGTAGGTGCAGGCATGCCATGAAGCGCCAACGACGAGAGTCACTTGTATTGTTTACATATGCAGGAATGTCAGAAGAAGAATTACTTCGAAAAGAAATGGTCACGTTATTATGTATCAATGATCAACAACACAGTCAGTTGTTAAAAGTCATGCCAGAGAAAACAGGCAATCCTGGAAGAACCAAGGAACTCTTTGATCCTACTTTGAATGAGGTTAGTTTAGTCCTTCTTTGTTGTACTTTGCTGTCAAACACTGAAACTTCTAGTGCCTCATGCCGTGGCGGTGCCAGCCTCCCGAAACTGGGGGTACAACTAGGGGGCAGATTGACTCAGGGATAAAATGTTGAGGCTGAATTTAACTCATGGAATTTCTGGGAGGGTTCTTCCAAGAAAAGTGTTGAAAAATTGAATTGATTTGGTGCATACTGACATTTTGGGGCAAAAACGTATCTTTTATATTTGTTAGAAATAACTGGCTTCAGGAAGTGTCTATTGTTTTTAATCAGACTTGTCCACATTTGCCCTTAAATGCCTTTTAAAATCTATAGTTTAAAACCTACTTTGAAAGGCATGAAGATGATATTCATTAAAAATAAGTTCAAAGTTTAAACATGAATAACTTAGAAAAAGATTTATTGCCCTTGTCCCTCAATCAAAAACCCCTTTTCTTAAACATAATTTCACCATGTATCTTAAATCATAAAAGGAAATAGAATAATACCTCTTAAAACATAAAATATAAAATCTCTAACTTGGTCAATAAGAGTATATATTCATCAGTTAGACTTACCAGGTGTCATGACTAAAGAATAGAATCTCTATATAAGATGATATATCCATTAAACTAAATAATTATTGAAATACACTTCTTAGCAAGTTTCAAAATTACTAAGTTTAATGAATTATTACTTAGTTTTATAGATTTATTAGATTATAGAGAGATTCTGTTGTATAGTTATGATACCAGGTAAGTCCACTGATGAGTAAAGACTCATTAAAACCAAGTTTAAAAATTTCAATTTTTGGTCATCCTAAGAGGTAGTGTACCTTGAATTAACAACATGCTGAATTGGACATTGTGGTCTATGGACAATGATCAATAAAAGACAAGTTATTTGACAAATAAGTAACATCATTTATTTCTGCTTCAGATTGCTGACTTTAAGGCTCCTAATTTTGAGGTAGTTGGTGGAATGCAACAAGGAACTTATGTACCTAAAGGTTTCCTGTGGGAGAATGAGTATGATCCAGTGAAGGTTACCCAGAGAGCTATACATAAAGAAGATCTTCAAGTTTCTTTAGATAGATATACTCAATAGTAAGTTATTGTACCACCCAAAAAAAAGACTTGAGATAAATTAAAGCATTAAAGAAGGGCTGCAATGATTTACATATAAATCGATGAAACTCGTTTCTTTCCTTCTTTTGAATAAAAATAATCAGCACAATTAATTCTTACCCCCCTTTAATAACAAATGGCACAGAATGCTTTTGTGTAAAAAAAATTATGTCATGTTTTCATTTCCCAAGTATGATTTTCACATCAAATTTGTAAAAATTCCTTTCTGACTTTAAAAATTGAGATTTTTTCACAATTCCAAACCTTTAAACATATCAAGTGCTTAATAGTGACAACATTGTTAGTAATTTTACAAATTTCCTTCTCTAATAAATGAAATCGCAATAATTACTGCAATAAATCGTAGATCAGTATCGTATAGTATATCGAATCACATTTTAAGAATCGTTGCGGCCCTACATAAAAGACATCAAGAAATATATCTGATTATGGCACCAAATTTAAAGAAATTGTAAAGAGCTTTTCTAAATTCTTAGTGTGTATCGAGGACACTGATAACATCAATTTGCACCGTTCCAATTTTCAATCAGACATCTGTGGTTATTGAGTTATTGCCCTTTTCAATTTGCTCGTAGACAATCTACAAGGCATAATTCTTGGCGGATTTTAACGAAACTGGGTGTTAGGGTGTATTGAGACGAGTCTCAATGAAAGCACTGGCCTAGGTCACAGAGCAATAGATAAGTCTATTAATTATGTGAAAATTAGTCATTAGTATGATTTTAGTTGAAAAGACACACACACAAACATACACTGTATGTTATATAATATACTGTATATAGCCATGGCACCAGTCCTGAAATAAGTATTCCCTGAAATCTAACTTAGAAATCGATTAATTTATTGATAGAACATGATACATTTATATTAAGAAATCTATGCTCCTAGGATGAATGGTCATTGTTCAATGGTTCAAGTCTACCGTGAAAGAGGAAATTGCTAAGATTTTGATTTCTTTTGTAAGCTACAACAACTTGGTGTGAGTGTTCGTAATCACCCAAGAATGAACCCTATTGAAAATCAGAAAAAATTGAAAAATTCTTAGTATGAGTTATTGCCCTTGTTCTTGAAAAGGCGTTCAATTTTTAGATTGTAAACACTCTTGACAGATTTTGTCAGTATTATTCAGTATCACCCCAAAAAATTCAAAAGAAGTGTATGACTGAAGGTTGAATATTTCATACTGGTGATTGTTAATGTGATGCTAAATATTTTTATTTAAAATCAAAGCTGCCAGTGGGCGTATATTACCTTGCCTGGCAAGCTATCTTCTTGCATTGTTTGATTTTTCAGTATTAAAAAACATCATAATTATAAGAAGAAAACAGTGCCGTGGCCACCATTCCGAGTTCCTGGAGATGTTCATCATGCTTATAAAGGATTGTATAAAATCCTCAATTCTAAAACCATGCATGCTTTTCTTTTTACAGTTTTATATAAGGTAAGATCCTATTTGAGTTGTTGTAAAGTAGTAAGTTCTAGAAATCTAAAGTTACGAGCAGTCTTGGTCTTTTTGTCCTGAATCTGGAGTAAAGTCTTGTGTGTGCCCCTGCTTCCATGACAAGATTATCGTGTCGCTGCAAGATTGATAATTGTCTCCGATAGTCTTATCACCTGCAAGACATACCATCATCATCCAATCAGATTCATTGCAATTGCAATTGGTTTCAAAATAGCTATCAGACTGGAAAAGAGGCAGATGTTTCGGACTACAAGACATGTAAATTGGGTTAAAAAACCATCAACTTCAGACATGCAAAAATCCTCACAAAACAGGGCCAAGTTTTTCTGTCTCTACACCCAACAACAAATTTCAAAAAAGATATCAGAGGTTAGAATAAAGGCAGATGTTTCGGACTACAAGACATGGAAATAGGTTTAAAAAACCAGCAACTTCAGAGATGCAAAAATCTCCACAAAACAGGACCAAGTTTTTCTGTCTCTACACCAGCCTACAACTTTCAAAATAGCTATCAGAGGTTGGAATAGAGGCAGATGTTTCGGTCTATATTCATAGAACCCTTTTATGTGTATGTTTATGTTTCTAGGCAGTAAATACTAAAACATGGATACCAGATAGTATTCTATATTACTGTATACATCTATTATACCTAGCTTTTCATTATACACCACGTAAAGCTACAGTCAAAAAGGTTAGTTTTTTTCTTTTCAAGACAGGTGGGATGGAGTGAAATTTCTGAAAGTGTAGACATGAGAATAAGTTCTACATATCTAACTTCAGTAGTCACACAGACTGAAAATAGGTCAGTTGTCTGAAGATCGCATAGTGTGAAACTTGAGAAACAACATGATTTAATTTCATATTTCTATATAGAAAATAGGTCAGTTGTCTGAAACGCAGGCATTCATTCTTTCAGTGATTCATTCAATCATTCATTCATTCATTCATTCATTCATTCTGTGTATCACTATATTATAGATGAAGGCCAGTGCCGGTACTGTAGGAGATTGTGAGTTTACTGAATGGTTCTCTAATTCTGATATTCGACACAATGTCAATGAGATCATCAATGAAGTCTGTATATTTACCCCCACGGAAGTACCGCCAGGGGCGTATCCCATGGAAACAGAAGACACCTATACTGTGGATACTGATATGGATTCGAATAACCTTGAAGAAATGTTCCAAATTGCTTCCATAGCAGTTGTAGGTAGGTTAAATCTTATGGTGTTTTCACTTGAAACTAAAGGCAATCCAGGTATTGGGGTGAGAGCCGACACAGTACCTACTCTCTGAAGCTCTGGCACAGGCATCAGATTTTCTTCTTACCTTGAGGAGGTTTTGAACTCACAGCAGCTAACCGCCTAGCAGACGATAATCAAACTTGCTATCCGACTGAAATATCCCTTTGCCACATTTTGGGGTGAGAGCTGACACTAGGCCAACTCTCAAAAGCTCTGGCATAGGCATAAAATTTTGGAGTTTTACATGGAAAATTCCCCACAAAACCAGAGGCAGATGTTTTGGTCTGAAACATATTCTTTCGCTTTCAAATCCATGTTTGTTTTTCTTCAGATTCCACGGGACCAATGACATCCTCCCAGATTGGTCAGAAACCAACCATCACAATGATATCGAGCCCAGGAACCGGTATACCAGGGAACATGACCTCAACTCAAACTCAGACTCACTCAGGAGGAGCTCGACCTAAGTACCAGAGTCGAGGAGTGTGTACCACTAGCCATATCAAGTCAGCAGTCTGTGTTATTAAGGAAAGTATGGTGACATTGTTGATGAAACTCCACAACAAACTTTCCAGCAAACCAGGCTCTTACAAACCCATCGCAGTCCAAAATCGCGAGCCTATCACCTCAGACATTGGTGATGGACCTCATTTTGTAGCCCGTCTGTTGGATAGAATTGCCAGTACCAACAGTGAATGTAGTTTCTTTGTGAATCAGGCCTACTCTAGCTGTCTTCCAGAAGATGTGAAAGAATATCAAACTCACAGCAAAGCAGACGACAGTGAAAAAGCAAAAGAAGAAAGGTCAGTTATGTCAAAGAAAAATAACAACTTCAAAATCATAAAATAAGTTTGTTTTCTTTGTTCTCTTCGACAATTTATGTAACAAATTACTCTTAAATGGACAGGTGCGCCATTTTGACCAATCGTACCTTAGTCTCTGAAACAGGAATATTTAGCTAAGACAATAAGTAATAGTGTTCACAGCTCACTGTCGAAATTTTAGCCTTCAAATACATGTATGTCTAGAATATTTTGTGTTTTTGTTAGTTAGTTTTTAGGCCTACTATTTTCTCACTATGATTTCAGACGAAGAAAGGCAATGGAAAAACAGCGTAAACTGTTAGCTAACTTTGCCTCAAAACAGAAAGCCTTTATGGAACAAGCTATGGATGATGAAGGTAAGGCAACCTGGATTTGTAAAACAAAGGTCTTTGGAGGCCTTGAATCCTTGTGTTTAAAAAGAAATGGATATGTATATTATATATCTATGTTTGGTTATAGGCTATCACAAAATAAGATAAAAGCTGTTTCTTAATATTAATGCCTGAAATGATGTTGGGTTTCCTTATTTTTAGTGTTAAATTAAGCAAACTATTTGATTAATTGGTGTTTCTAATGAATTATCATGTATCCTTAATCATATTATTATGTTATTATTGCACATAATTAAAGGTTTTAACCAATCATAAATGTCCATGTATGTACAGTCTAGGTAAACAGACCTTTCTTGATCGGTCATTCTTTGGAATTCTGCTGGTATTTCTCTTCTAATTTAGTTAATTATGAATTAATTATGGATATGTGAGACAAACTGGTATTTTTCCAAGTTATTAGAACACTACTACTTTCTATTCATATAAGTATTAGCATTTTCATTTTCATAAATAAAAATAAGGTAACCCATCTTTGAATTAAGTCTTAAAGGGATTGTTAAGAGATTTTTTATTTTTTTATGTGTATGAGGGACACTGATAGCATCAAGTTGCAACATTCTAATTTTCAATTAGATGTCTGTGGTTCCTGCAATTCAACTAAAAATAAGCCTTCGATGATGTCACTGATCACAAAGGTCCTTATGCATATTTTGAATAGAGAAGTCATCAAACACTTAGTGTTAATCAAATTTTAGAAACAACAGACATCTGATTGAAAATTGGAATGGTGTGAATTGTTGCTATCAGTGTCCCTCATACACATAAATAATTTAGAAAACCTCTTTACAATCTCTCTAACTGAATAATCCCTGAAATGAATAAAACCTAATATTTTAAATTTTCTATGATAAGCATTGATTGAAATATAAGATGGATGATATAGTTTTATTGCGTTATTTTAGATGATGTAGATGGTGGTAAAGATGAAGGTATGGAAGTACCAGAAGATGAAGGATTTGATTGTGTTATTTGTTATCAGTCAACACCATCAACAGCTGAACGACCTGTTGGTTTAGTTGTCTTTAATCAAGCTACTAGTGGTATGTATTACCAGATTATCAACATTATTACCTATTGATGAGAGATGAGTTGATTTTCTAAATGGCACAGTCATGTCAGGTGTAAAAAAAATGATAAAGCTGTTAATCTGGGAAATGAAGAGGGGCAAGATCTTTAACGTGCACAGCCTGTAACACACAGGGCCTCGGATTATTGTCGCATCCGCACGACAAGACACCTTTCCCATGTCAGCCCCTCTTACCTGCATCACTGACAGGGGGAAACCGGGTTGAAAAATCAGAAGGTATTATCTCAACCTATGCTGGGATTGATCAATGGACGTCAGGTGGAAACAGGTGTCCAATTGAAGTAGATATAAGGTTGAAAAGTCATCTGATGTCATTGATCAAATACAATATCTACTGTATATATTTTAGTCTTGGCACATTGTCCTAAAGTAGAAGGTAGAGAATCAGTAAACCTGCTGGAGAAAGAATATCCACGGTATTCTAATAGAGGAATGGTCCAACGCAGACAGCTAGAAGAACTTATTCAAAACTTTGATGAGGTCTGTATAGTAAATAGCTTTGTGGACTCCAAAAAAAAAGAGTTTCACTTCCTCCTTTAGTACACTAAAGTAATGTTAGTTGTCTAAATGACTGCATCTCGCCATATCCTGTAGTCCATACCTGTTGATAATGTGACGATAATCAGTACCCTTTAACAAGGTGAAATGGTTGCCGACAAGAGTCTTGTTAAGAGTTTTACCGACCGACTGCGGGTACTATAGGAGACAGAACTCTCCAGTCTGTGGTTTCTACTATGTCAAAATCATGTGCGGAACATGCAAATTGCAGACGATAAAACAATCAGCAACAAATATCAAACTTGTTTGATATTATAAATTCTGTCGACAACATGATAATCTTGTGGTGGAAGCGCAGGCACACTTGAAATTGGCGTCGGCAACAAAAATTACGACAGAGACTGTTCATGTTCCTTCAACATTAGGGACTCAGGAATTTACTTTTAGTTTCTTTTTCTTGCAGCGATCATGTCAGATGTCTGTAAATATAGGATGGGAAGGTGGTGTTATAGTCCAATCTTGTGGTCATTATTTACATTTAGATTGTCATCATTCTTACGTTAAATCTTTAAAGGTAAATATGTTATGTTGCGCGTGAAACACCTGATGGTACTTCTCTATGGAGGAGTCCACTTCTTTAACTCTCGATTTTGCCATACTTTCGACTAGATTTTTGATTGATGGAATGGTCTTGCATGAGCAGATTTTTGTTATTATAATTCAAGAAGTTATTATTCCCAAATTAAAGGTATTCTACCTCTTAGACCAGATTGCAGTTTAAAGGTATACTACCTCTTAGGATGTACCAAAAATTGAAATTTTTAAACTTGGTCAAAATGAGTCTTCGTTCATCAGTGAACCTGGTGTTATAACTATACAACAGAATCTCTCTATAATCTAATAAATCTATAAAACTAAGTAATAATTCATTATACTAAGTAATTTTAAAACATGCTTAGAAGTGTATTTCAATAATTATTTAGTTTAATGGATAAACTGCATTTATATATAGAAATTATATTCTTTAGTCATGACACCTAGTAAGTCTAACTGATGAATATATATACTCTTATTGACCAAGTTTGAGATTTTATATTTTATGTCCATTCTAAGAGGTAGTATACCTTTAATATTACAGCTTTTCATTTCAGAAATATTTAACTTTCAATATTTTTGAAATTTTTATAACTTAAAAGACAATGACAAAAAAGTTAAAGTTTAGATTTATGTCCTAACACCCTGTTTCAGTCGCAGGAAAGTTCCATATTTTCATCAGTGAAAGATGGAGAATATTACTGTCCGCTGTGCCGACAACTGAGTAATTCTGTCATACCAATAGTACCAGAGGAAAATAAACAGTCACTAGTTAAACCTATATCAGAAGATCCTAGACAAATGGTAATAGATATAGCTGAGATGATGGTCACAAGGCCTATAACTCCGGTAAGTAATATTTCAGTTTAAGTAGACCAAATTTTCGTTCTGTTTTTTTATGAACTTTTATTCTTAATTTATCCATAATTCGGCATAGGTCGAGGTGATACCTTTGGATTCTTCAAACCAGGTTCCCCCTGTCAGTGATGCAGGTAAGAGGAGCTGACATGGAAAAAGCGTCTAGTCGTTCAGATGGGACAATAAACCAAGGTCTTGCGTGCTACAGACTGTGCATGTTAAAGATCCCTCGACAGTTGGAAATCAAAAAGACCAGGCTAATGCTGGTGTCCTGGAAAAATTTCCCTCATTGCACCCTGCTTGGCATTGCCCGTTTTCATTAAACTAATCAGTTGAAGAAGAGTAGGATGTAAAACTCCATTCATTTCATTTCATTTCATTTGTACAGCAATAGTCATCTCAATTTGGTGTATTTTGTTTCAGGGATCTGAATTATTAACTAAAGCTATGGGAAGTGTAATGGAGGATTTATTACATACAACCTACGCCAAGTTCCGAACCTATTCTTATACTAGTTCAGAATGTGTTTATTTACTCTTTGTTTGTTCTGTGGCAAGGTAATACTTTTGTTTTTTCGTGCATTTGATTGATTTACACAATCATAGAGTGAACTAGGAGTGCACTCAATTGGTGAGTCCTGCACGTTCAACAGAATGTTCAATAAAAACAAGTTGGAACAGAATTCAGAAGGCGTTCCAAAAAGATACTTGGAGCTGACAGAATTCAAAATGGCGGAGAAAGAAATAGATAGGACATATCTGCTTCAGTACCGTTCGTTTGAGGATTGGAACAGACGGAACATGTTCTGAACTCTTCAATTGAGTGCCACCTAGGTGTAATGTAACAGCAAGCTACAGAGCATCTTCACAATGTCAAGCCATTACTAACTTTGTCTAATACAGCAAATCACATCCCTTGATATAAAGACTATAAACATTTTGGCTTATGGCTAACAGACTTTCTGTTGAGGAGAGCCCTCAACAGATTGGCTGTATTTCCTTGCGTAGAATCCAATGGCTACATTTAGTAACTTCATTGATACAAGAAAGATGGCTATTACAGTCAAGGTATAAGACGGAACCAGAAAGAATGAAGGAAGAGTAGGCATATTGTTCATTTGAATCTTTTTAGGAGTAATTTGGAGCTAGAACTGATACAACTTGGAGGAAATTTGAAACAAATATCACAATTAAATATAGCTAAAAAATCTTCCTTCTGTAAGTTATATTGTTAATATACATTAAGCTGAAAGAGACAGTATAGTTATCTTTTAACCAAGCGCACCCTAGTCTCAGAAACGGGAATTTTTTAGCGAAGCCAATCAGTAGTAGTGTTCACAGCTTACCGTCAAAATTTGGGACTTCAAATCCATGTCTATCCATAAATATTCCATTTGAAAGTTAAAAAGAAGAGTCAACTTTTCTTGTAACCATATGTGCAATTCCTAGTTTGAGATATTTTTAAAGGAATTTAGTACATTTTTAGTACTTCTGAAAACAATTTACATATATTTTGGACCAGCTGGTAGAAGGGATCCTTAACTGTGAACCTAAGTTAATATCCTTGTAAAATATAGTTACATATTTCTTTACTTTCAGTGCCTTTATTACATGTATTGAGTTTACACAGTAAAATTTTAACATTGTCACCTACTCCCTATACCCCCTTGTGGAGTCATATAACTGGTGTTACATGTAACAATTCAGATGATTTAAGGTGAGATTCTCAACTTTTTGACAACCAAAGACATATTTTACTAAAGTTTAGCCAAAGTAATATTTTTTTTTTTTGTAAGATCGGCATCAGAGCCCCCTGATCTTGAAAACTGTAAATGATTTTAGTTTCTTGTCACCTGATTGGTCAATCATTAAAATCGATTTTAAATTTAGTTTTGTTATCATCTCATGCAAGGCCTGAAGGCTTTGATAATTATATAATAAAACTCTTTAGATGGAAATATAGAATATCAAGATATATCTCATCTTAACAGCCCTTAACAGAAAGACTGTAAACATTATGGCTTATGTCAAAGTTTTGATTGGCTGTATTTGCTGACATACAATCCAATCAAATCGCTGCGTTTTCCATCTTCTGTAAAACAAGAATAATCGCTTTTGCAGTCAAGGTATAAGACGATGTTCGTAATAGCATGACATTATGAAAAAGATGGATATATCTCAATCTAGAGAAAATTAGATTAAACTTTTATTCAGTTAGGTCTAATGACAGCCCTCTTTAACCTAAAATTATCCTTTTGACCTAACTCGATGACATCTGCCTTTACCAGTAAAATTTCAACCCTCTCCAATGCTGGTATCTTGTGATGCTGTGTTCAGGTCAAAAGGTTCAAGAGGGCTGTCGTTAGACCCTAACTAAAGTGGCTATATTAAAATTAAAAGCTAATAAGAAAATGGAGTGAAAGCTGGGTCTAATTGTGATAACACTGGATATATCTAAACTCAACATTGACCATTGTTTTTAGTTTGTCACTGTACCAGAAAGATGTCCCATTACTGTTAAAAGATATGACGGCCTTGTTGATACAATTTGTTTTAACTCTTCCTTTTACCATCAAAGAAGGTATGGAAAGTCTTATATTTGGGATCTTAATGTTGAAAAAGGCAAATTTTTTATGGTTGGCTTAGCGAGAATTGGGATATCAGTTCTGTTAGTCTTAGAATGTCTTTACTTGCAATGCAGACGTGAGATATCCAGAAAGATAAGAAGGTGGTCATTTTGTGTGGTTGTTCATGGTGATTGACAACTGTATCTAAGTGGGAGGAGCCTAAGATATTCTCGCAGATTAGTGAATAACAAAAGTCTGTTTTGATCCTAAATATTCAGTATTTTTGAAGTCAGAATTAGTAATAAGTTTTATTTCATTCTATATTTTTAGAACATTTTAGCTTTGTCCTACAGATGTTGTATAATGCATTATATGTACAAGCTTTAACTGTGGTCATCTGTAAATTTGGGTTTGAGGAAAGAAAAGCCTGGGGAGAGAAAGGAAGACATGTAAGTTTATTGGACACTTCATGCCTAAGAAGATACTTAAAGGGATTGTAAAGAGGTTTTCTAAACTTTTTTATGTGTATCGGGGACACTGATAGCTTCAATTTGCATCATTCCAATTTTCCTTCAATTTCACTAAAACTAAGTGTTTGATGACTAATTGCAAAATATGCTTTATCATATAAAGGAACTATGGATTTGTGAGATCAAACACTTAGTTTTAGTGGAATTCCAGGAACCACAGATTAAAAACTGGAATGGTGCAAAGTGTTGCTATCAGTGTCCCTGATACACAATTTTTTTTGTAGAAAACCTCTTTACAATCCCTTTAACTCGATGTTTGTTTTATTTGGGTGGCATGAGAAATTTCAACTCATCAAATTCAGTTTATATATGAATTATTAACAATAATTGTTTACATTTTATCTGAATTATTTACATTTTATCTGATTTATTTACATTTTATCTGAATTATTTACAATTTATATGAATTATTTACAATTTATATGAATAATTTACAATGTTAACATAATCATCAACAATTTATACAAGTCATCAACATTTTTTTCAGGCTACAGTAGACTCACTAGAAGGGATGTTAAGTCATTTGATTACTAGAATTAACTGTAGTAGATTGTTTGAACAAGAGTTAGACCAGACATTTGCAGCTGTAAGTATTTACATATAGCACCATACTGAAGGTGTGCCAGATAACTGAGTCACAAAGAGGTTGACTGTGACCTCATCTTAATTCTAGTTTTCTAGCCCTTGTATGGGCCCGTTTGATTGATGAGTATTGCATGTTCAGGATTAATGGAATCAACAAAAAACGTTCAATAAAACAAGTTGGAATAGAGTTCAGAACGCGTTCCAAGTGTGCAGAAAAAATAGAAGATGCAGAATTCAAAATGGCGGTGAAGGAAATAGATTTTGAATGTGACATATTCTGCTTTTGACTGTTCAATGTGTATCAAAAATATTTAAAGCTTTCATATACACTTTTGATGTTTTTGTAAATCTAGAAATCCATGTCCATATTTTGTCTTCACATTAAATGTAAATAAGAATTTATTTTGATATGATTGTAGATTTGTCAGAGTGTTTGGTCTCCACAGAGTGTAGAAATGAGTTTACAGGAACACATGTTACCATTTCTCAGAATGGCCGTCATATTGAAACATCATTTATTTAAAACAATATATCCAGAAAATCAAGTAGGCTACTTCTTCATTTGGGGCATATCTAGAAAATGTCTGAGTGAGGAGGGGAGGCATGGGTTTGGGGGCTGTCAGAGGTTGTTTTGAAGCGAAAGATTTCAGATGACCTGAACTGAATTTTGACCTTTAGGGGGCTTAATTTTCACTTCGAAATAAGGCCTTTCACAGGCCAGATGGGCTCTCCCCCTAAATACAGTACTCTTTACTCTTCCTAAGTCCTTTCTTTAAGTGTGAATTGAATTCTGGTTTGTTCTGTCATTCTTGTTTGACAATCCATTAAAGCATTGCTTGTAGATGCTGTTGGATGCTTTGTTATATCAAGAAAATGACGATTTGGGTTCCGATTTTGATCAGCATGTGAAGGTCCTTGTAAAATATAGTTCTTTCTTTATTTTTATTAATGTTACATTTCATTTATCTTAAATGCTTGTAAAGAGGTTTTCTAAATTGTGTATGTTTCTGGGACACTAGAAGCATCAATTTGTGATTCCTGCAATTCCACTAAAACTAAATGTTAGATGATGTCATTAATTGCAAAGGGCCTTTAAAGCATATTTTGCGAGTTGTGACGTCATCAAACATTAAGTTTTAGTGGAATAACAGGAACCACAGATGATGATTAGAAATTAGAATGGTGTAAATTGATGCTATCAGTGTTGACTGTGATACATATACAAAATTTTGAAAAACTCTTTACAATCCCTTTAAATAGATCATTAGGGTAAAATGGTAATAAACAATTACAATATTCTTTTTTGTAGAATGAAGCAGAGTATATATATTTATGTAAATTATTAAACCTTGTTAAAGGTGATAGTCCCCCTTCTAAAGAATTAACAAGTTCTAGTTTAGTCAGATGGGCAGCTCCAGAACCAATACAATTAACACGAGCTTGGTGTGTCCATTTTATTGATTTTGTGAACACAAGTCCTGCCGTAGCCAGAGTGAGTATTGGTTTTATTTCCATAACATTCGCATTTCCCCCCCTCGCTCTCAGAGTAAGAGAAAATGAAAAAGCTAATACTTATATGAATAGAAAGTAGAGGTGTTCTAATGACTTGGAAAAATACCAGTTTGTCTCACATGTCCATAATTAATTCCTAATTAACTAAATTAGAAGAGAATTACCAGCCGAATTACAATGAGTGGCCGATCAAATGTCAAAAAGTTTTTGTTTTTCCAGACCGTATATACATGGACATTAATTATATGAATACATGATAATTCATTAGAAACACCAATTAATCAGATAGTTTGCTTAATTTGACATTAAAAAATAAAGAAACCCATCTTTAAGTCGACCTAAGTACTCAAATTATTTGCATTTTAGATTGAAAAACTTTCTACTTTTGAAAAAAGGCAGCACTACCCTCCCAAAACTAGAGGTACAATAGGGAACAACTTTCGAGTCTGAATTCAAAATGAGGCAACTCTGTTAAGACGTCATAGTTGCAAACCTCTCATGGAGCGTCTTAGGGGGTTCTTGTAAGAAAAATGTAATGGATTTGGTGCATTTTGACACATCTGAATGTATTATTTTACATTCCAGTCTCTGTTGATGGTCAATCAAGTTTGGTACCGGCCTAAATTAATACCTCTACCTAAAGAATATTACCAGATATTTCAACATTATCGAAGTAAAACTTGTGTAGAATGTAAGAGAACACCTAAAGATCCCACATTGTGTCTGGTGTGTGGAAAATTAATTTGTTTCCGAGAAGATTGTTGTAAACAAAACTCTACTGGAGAATGTACACAGGTAATCAAAAAAAACATTTCTGCTCATTCAGGACATAAAGACAAACCGTCAGTGGCAGTGCAAGTATCCCGATTCTGGGGGTCCCCTGACTTAAAAGGGGGACAACTGCAAGGTTTGAGATTCAAAATGCAGGAACTCTATGGAAGAGGAGAATTTTTGAAAATAGAATTGATTTATGTCTTTCTAATAGTGCGTTTAGTCAACTTAAGTTAAGGTAGCTTAACCATCAACTCATGTGTCCAAACCACACCCCTATTCATTCAAACTTCCTTGAGCAGTGGTAACACAAGTGAGAAAAATTAATTTTTCATAGATAAATATTGTCCTATCAAAATTGGCTCTACTGTATCGCCAACAAATTTCAGCCAATCAAAATAAATCACTCGTTATGACCCTTTGTTTGCAAAATTGCGAATTTGTCCCTTTAAGTACTTATATCTGAATATTTATGATTACAGCATTCGGTATCATGTGGTGGAAGTACTGGTATATTTCTACTAGTTAATTCTAGTATAATAGTAGTTATACGTGGAGCCAGAGCTACTATCTGGGGTTCAGTCTATTTAGATGATCATGGTGAAGAAGATAAAGATTTAAGGTAAGAGCATCTGTACTATATTTTATCAAATGAAATGAATGGAGTATTGTGTCCTACTCTTCTGCACCTAATTAGTCTAATCTAACTGTCGAGGGATCTTTAACAAGCACAGCCTGTAGCACAAAAGACCTTGGTTTATCTAGACGCTTTTTCCATGTCAGCCCCTCAGTCTTACTCACTGAGTTGCTGCAGCCCTACTAAGGTTTAGCAAGTAAAAAGTACACAAAGTCACAATTATCACGTGCCTGAAAGCCATTTGAAAGATATGAGGAACATTACAGTAACTTCTGTTTCCCTTGGAAGTTGAAAATATTCATTATATTGTGATTTCACACATTCTTTCAGTATTATTATAATGTATTAAGGGTTTGAAAAGAGATTTTCTAAATCATTTATGTCTTTCAGGGACACTGATAGCATCAATTTACACCATACAAATTTTCAATCAGACGTCTGTGGTTCCTGCTATTCCACCAAAACTAAGTTTTTGATGACGTCACTAATTGCAAAGGGCCTTGTGTGATAAAGCATATTTTGCAATTGGTGACGTTACAAACACTTGGTTTTAGTGGAATTGCATGAACCTCAGACGTCAGATTGAAAATTGGAATGGTGTAAATTGATGCTTAACAATCCCTTTAAGTTTTGTGGCTCTTGACGATGTTTCGTTATAATTTTCAGACGTGGTAAACCATTGTATTTAAGTAAAGAAAGATATACTATATTAGAACAACAGTGGCTGAATCATAATTTCAACCAAGTGTGTAAAAATTGGAGTTGGCACAAAGACAAGCTTTAGTAGCGTGTAATATAAAGTAATGGATTTTTAAATACTTCAGGTTTCAACAGGACAAAGTAGTCCCCATATATTATTTTTTGTCCTTTATGAACTTTATTTTTGTTAGATAAAATTGTAATTAATTACAAAAACTAAATAAGACTCTACGCGTGAAATCAACTTTTGTTTCATTTTTTATCATTAGTTTGTATTTTAAGTATGGCCACTTCACAGTAGGGTCTAATGACTGAAGTCTTGAACATTCGTCAAATTAACCTTTTGACCTAACCTGCTTTAACCAATCAAATTTACGCCTTCTCCAATGTTTGCATTTTGTGACACCATCAAAAGATGTATTTTCAAGAGCAATAGACTAGTTTATCAAGTCCACTGAAAGTTAAAATAGAAAACACACCTTTCATTGAATGGTCTGAATTGACCCTGTTTATTTTGATTGGTTAAAGCAAACCTCATGAGGTTAGGTCAAATGGTTAATTTGACGAATGTTCAAGAGTCTGGTTGTTAGACTCTACTGTGAAGTGGCTATACTAAAAATACAAACTAATAAAATTAAAACGAAATGAAAGTTGGGTCTTATTTTAATTTGACTGCTTATGAAATATTGTTTTCTACATTTGTGTATCAAAACAGTCTAATGACAACACCATGCATGTATGCAATGAGGGGCATTTTTTTTTTGTAGAAATCAGTTTATTGGCCAAGAATGGTAAGATCGACATGCCCAGATTTTTCGTTTGTTTTTTCTTTAAAAATTTATTAAAATACGCTACGTAAGAGAATGAATTCAAGTTTTCCACTTTTTTTGGTTAAAATTGCTAACAAAAAAACAATTATATTTTGATCAAGACATTCTAAGACTATTTTAGAAATCCAAAAATTCAAAAAAATCCTTTTTGCTTGTACAGACAATAATTATAAATTTACTGTGATAAGTGTTCATATACTGGTAGATTAAAAACCAAAGACAACTTTTACAATGTCCGCTGCACGAGATTATTGAGACAGGAGAAAATAGAAGAGAAAAATGGGTAGCGCTCGATTGGAGTATTCTGAACAAGTTCCGTCACTTTCAATTCCGCTCTCAATCGAACAGTATGAAAGTAGAATTTGTCACTTTCAAAAATTTCCAATCTATTTCTTTCTCCGCCATTTTGAATTCTGTCTGCACCTACTATTTTTTTGAAACGCGTTCTGAATTCTGTTTCACCTTGTTTTTATTGAATGTTCCGTTGATTTAAAAAAATTCTGAAAGCGCAGAACTCACCAATCGAGCGCATCCCTTAGTCTGTTGTTTGAACTCTACCTTGGCAGACTCTCCTTTTTTAATATGCCACATGAAATAGGGGGCGTATATTGGCATTTCCTATGTCCGTTCGTTCATCCAATTGCTTGTAAACACTCTAGAAGGCACAATTCTTGACGAATTTAGAAGAAACTTGGTGTGAGCGTTTATAATCACCCAAGGATGAACCCTATTGTAAGTCAGAAAAATATTTATTGAGTTATTGCCCTTGTTCTTGAAAACGCTTTCAATTTTTAGTTCTAGTATCACCCCAAAAAGTTCAAAAGAAGTGTATGGCTGAAGGTTGAATATTTCATACTGGTGATTGTTGTTACTTTACTGCCAAATATTTTTATTTAAAATCAAAGCTGCGAGGGGGTGTACATTACCTTGCCTGGCAAGCTATCTTTTTAAAGTGAGTTCAGTCATCTTTAGTTACCAAGGGTGGTATCAATAACATAATTTAGTTGTTAAAAATGTACTGGTGTTTTGTTGTAAAGTAAACAAGTAATATATCTCTTGTTTTTCTTTTTTCTGTCTTAAAGGAAGTCTATGAATGAATATCCTATGTGACATCACTAAACATCCTATCAACAGTGAGAAAATGGCTAAAAACTGACCTTTCTCAAAAGTGTGTGAAGGTAAAATTCATCTGAAAGTATCATTAAATAGCATAATCAATTCTGATATTAATGATATATAATATGATTAGGTTTGTGTTAGTTAGATTGGAGAAGGAGGCTATAAAGACGTCAAGGTGACAATTTTAGTGCAGTGACACACTGTTACCTTTGTTTATTTGTGTTATAAGCCTCTGTTCAAACACTGTTCAGTATGGATATAACCACTATTAAGAAGGCGGGACAGAAAACAAATGAAATGGGGGATCTAGAATTACATTTTAATCAGAAAGGAAAAAAAAAACGATTAAACAAAAAAAAAATGAGAAATTTATTCACAGTACAAAATAATGAAATGAAATGGTTTATGGTCAGACAGGTTTATATTTGATTTATGACATAAAAGATACTATTAATGTACTAATTATTACAAATTATTGTTCTCTGAAGTTGTAAGCACAATTTCTGATACCACTATTCTTAAAGGGATAGATGCACCATTCTTTATGACCAATAATACTTTAGTCTCAGAAACAGGAATTTTTTTATCAGTAATAGTGTTCATAGCTCGCTGTGAAAATTTGAGCCTTCAAATCCTTTTTCAAATATTTTTGAAGTAATAATGTGATTTTCGAACATTTCTAGGTCTTTTGGAGACTACTAACATATTTTCAAGACTCAAATCAACCCCAAATGGCGCACCTGTCTCTTCAAAGCACTATTAGTTACTGGCCTCATATTTCCCAATTACACAAATTTTTCATTTCTTTCACAACTTATCCATAACAATGAAGCCTACATCTTTTTAGGCCCATGCCATGTTTTGGCAGACGTTACATAGGAATGAACGCTTCAGGTTGATTCGTGACCCAAGGAATTATCAATGTGTTTCAATATGGACTGCTTACATATTTTCAATAGGTTCATTTTATTTGCTGAGCGAGCTCACGAATGATTCGAAGAAATCATTATTCGTGAATTGAACTTGCGAAAGTCCAAGTTAAACCCTATGTAACCCTTCAGGAAAAATGACACAGTTAAACGTGAGGCGTGAAAAGTGAATCGTTCATGTAACGTCTGCCTAAAGGTAAAATCTATTTTTGACAAAGATAACAAGTTAGGCTTAAGAATCCTGTCTAGCAGCTAGTCCATTACAAAGCCTTTTGTATCTGTACACATTTGGAACCTCTGGAGCAAAGTTAACAACAATACAAGTCATAATGATGGACTGAACTGTCCATTCATCTTTATCCACAAGAAAACTTATTTGCTTCTTTGAAAGGCTAATCATACTCATAACAATTTTTCAATTTGATCTTTAGATTTGAAGTCCCATAATGATCTAGAATGGAAATCATAGATATCATTAAATTACTAAACTAGATTACCCCTAATGGTCTTCTGTAATCAGTTTTAGATACATGAATGCATAAACCACAAGAAAATAAAGATTGCAATGATTTAAAGGCATTGTAAACAGTTTTCTTAATTTTTTATGTGTATCGGGGACAATGATAGCATCAATTTGCAGCATTCCAATTTTCAATCTGACGTCTGTGTTTCCTGCTATTCCACTAAAACTAAGTGTTTTTATGACATCACTAATCGCAAAGGGCCTATATATGATAAAGCATATTTGATGATTAGTGACGTCATCAAACATCAAAGTTTTAGTGGAATTGTAGAAACCACAAGAGTTTGAAATGGTGCAAATTGATGCTATCAATGTCCCCGATACACATAAAATTTTTAAAAATCTCTTTACAATTTCTGTATGTCTCCTTCACATAATGGAAAGCTCAAGAGATGTTACAGCATTCTTACTGATCAAAATATTTTAGCCTTGTTCTTTGAAAGAGTTTAGGCCTACTTACCGAAGAGATTTTCTTTTTTCTACTGTATCTTCAAATTCTTTTGCTTTACTAATAGCAGACTTTATCACCTGTAAATAGAAGTCTTGTCAAGAGTTTCACTGACTGGCTGCGACTCACAAGGAGACAAAAAATCTCCAGTCAGTCGTTTTCCACTATGTCAATAATCATGTGCAGATCATGCAATTTTAAGGAAAATGAATCTGATTGGATGATGACGCTCTGTCTTGCAGAAGATAAAACAATCAGCGACAAATATGAAACTGGTTTGATATTATTAATCCTGTCGACAACGTGATAATCTAGTTGTGGAAGCACAGGCACACATGAGAATTTACTCAAGATTCATATGAGACGAAAATCGACTGCAAGAACTGTGTGTGTGCTCGCAGTATAAGTGCATAGGGTTTAGTCTTGCTAAAAGAAAGGTATCAATAAATCTTTAATTTGATTGGATGACTATTTTATTGATCTTGAACACAAGTTACATTACAATTTCGTCAGATCATGGATGACAAGTAGATATTACAGTAGTGGCTGGTGTTGCATGCGAACAGACCATGCTTACTCCTTTCAAAACACCTGATGATACTTCTCTTTGGAGGAGTCCAGTACTATACAACTTTTACTCCCCATTTTGACATTGTTTGGACAAGATTTTTGATTTATGAAATTGTCTTGCTTGAAGGGATGTATATTCAAAACAGAAAATAATCGTATCTCTTACCTCTTCTGGCAAATCAGCCAGTCTTGCAGCATTGAATCCATAACTTTTAGGACATGCTCCCTTGATGAATTTATATAGAAATGTGATTGTTTCTTGTGAAGGGTCTTCTGTTTCATTTTCTACCATACATGCCTACAATCATACAACAGAATGTACGCCTACAATTGTACAACAGAATGTATGCCTACAATCATACAACAGAATGCATGCCTACAATTGTACAACAGAATGTATGCCTACAATTGTACAACAGAATGTATGCCTACAATCTACAACAGAATGTATGCCTACAATTGTACAACAGAATGTATGCCTACAATCATACAACAGAATGTATGCCTACAATTGTACAACAGAATGTATGCCTACACTTGTACAACAGAATGTATGCTTACAATCATACAAGAGTGTCAAGCTAACTATTTGATTAATTGGTGTTTCTAATGAATTATCATGTATTCTTAATCATATCATTTTGTTCTTATTGCATATAATGAAGAATTTTAACCAATCATAAAAGTCCATATATGTACAGTCTGTATAAACAAAAAATACTTTTTGATCTTTCTTGATCGGTCACTCATTGGAATTCTGTTGTTAATTCTTTTCTAATTTAGCTAATTATGAATTAATTATGGACATGTGAGACAAACTGGTATTTTTCCAAGTCACTAGAACACCTCTACTTTCTATTCATATAAGTATTAGCATTTTCATGAATGAATGAAAATATGGAACCCATCTTTAAAGGAATTGTAAAAAGGTTGTCTAAAATTTGTTTATGTGTATCTGGGACACTGATAGCATCAATTACCACCATTCCAATTTTCAATGTGACGTCTGTGGTTCCTACAATTCCACTAAAACTAACGTGTCTCAAATCTTTAGCAGGGCCAAAATATCAGGTTCACCTAAGCAAATTTGCGACTAAATCCATTTTATAGCAACTTGGGTATTAGGGGGTGACAGCCGACATTAGGCAGACTCTCAGAAGCACTCGCACAGGCATCAGGATTTTCATTACCTGGAGTAGCATTTGAACCCACAACACCTAATCGCCTCTCAGACAACAATCCAACTTGCTACCGACTGAACTATCCCACTGCCAACTGAGTCCTCAAAGTAAAACTTTTTTAACACCACAGCCAGTGCTTTCGGCTTAATCAGTTAATGTATATGATACCTACCATGTGACCTAGTCGGACATTGTGATCATGACTAAATTGTTCTACTAGTGAATGATAGTGAGTTGAGAAGAGAGTTCGACAGGAGATGTTTTGAGATAGTTCTTCTACTACTGAACAAGCTATAGCTGTACCATCATAGGTAGCTGTTCCTCTACCTACAAATCAAAACACAACCATATTAACATTTCAGCTAAAGATTAAACTAAATGAAATAAAATGAATGGAGTTTTACTGCTACTTTACTACACCAAGTGGGCTAATGAATATGACAACGCCATGCAGGGTGCAATGAGGGAAATTTTGCCAGGACCGTGCCATTAGTCAGCTCTTTTTCGATTTCAAACTGTCGAGGGATCTTTGACATGCACAGCCTGTAGCACATGGAGCCTCAGTTTATTGTCCCATCCGAACGTCTAGACGCTTTTTCTATGTCAGCCCCTCTTACCTGCATAACTGACGAGGGAAACCGTGTTGAAAAATCCGAAGGTATTATCTCGACTTATGCTGGACTGGACTTTCAGGTTAGCGAGCAAGCGTCCAACTCACTGAGCCACAGCGGCTCCACAAACTATCGTAAGATCAATTCGGTTTTTGGCACTTACAACATGGGTTTATTGCCCTATCTAAATGGCTAAAGGCTTTTTATTTATCTACTTCAATGGCATTGAAGTAACCTGGTTAAAATTCTACTATTTCCATCAAACTTTAAATGGTTTAGTCACAAGCATTAAATTAGTCTGAAGGCATCAAACTTGCTTAGTCATCACCTCCCCCAAATACACAAGATATGTTGATTATATTGTAGAGAATAAATAAACAAAGTACTAACAATCCGAACCGCAAAATAAAAACCCGAAATCTTAACAACATATTGGTAATTGTAGCAGATAATGGTTTTCACATGAGGAAGTATATCAATCATTAGTGAGTAAGTATTTCATAATGAAAAGTGGTATCAGGGCAGATAATGAACTTTTCACATGAGGAAGTATATTAATCATTAGTGACGTAAGTACTTCATAATGAAAAGTGGTATAAATATTTTATACAGACCTAATTCATCAACTAAAACTAAAGAATGTTTGGTTGCATGTTGTAATATAGATGATGTTTCACTTAACTCCACAAAAAATGTACTTTCACCTGAAATGCCAGTTACTCATTACATTCTACATTGGTTAGGACTGATCGTTCAGAAAACCAGGAGGGCAAGATAAAAGCTAAATTTACTTAAAGGGACACTACCTCAAACTCTCTAACTTGGTCAATAAGTGTATATATTCATCAGTTGGACTTGCCAGGTACCATGACTAAAGAATAGAATCTCTATATAAGATGATATATCTATTAAACTAAATAATTATTGAAAAATGCTTCTAAGCTTGTTTTAAAATTACCTAGTTTAATGAATTATTACTTAGTTTTATAGATTTATTAGATTATAGAGAGATTCTGTTGTATAGGTATAACACCAGGTAAGTCCACTGATGAACAAAGACTCATTTTAACCAAGTTTAAAATTTTCAATTTTTCGATCATAATAAGAGGTAGTATACCTTTAAATTATCACAAGGCAAACAATTTTTTTTTTAATGACTGTCAGTTGCAGCTTTCATTCTAAACAAAATTATCTAATATTGCATTTATTCTAAAAATAACGTCACTTGAGCTCTATTAACTGGAAAAGCAACTATCAAGAAATTAAATAGCCAACATTTCCGTTTTGGTAATTTTGACTATTTCAACTTTGTGAAGTCCTGTGAATTGTAGAAAGAGTTACTAACCTGACATAATTCTATCACTAGCTCCTAGTCTGGTAAATATTCTATCTATAGGTGTTAATCTACATTTCTCAGCTGGTACGTAACATCCCTGTAGAGAATAACAAATATGACATAATAACAACCTATTAAGTATTACTATCAACTCTATAGAAAATAACGTCCCTACAGAAAATGACAACCCTATAATAAATAACAAATATTACTTAATAACAACCCTATAGAACCCTGTGCCAGTGCCTTACATTGAATAGTAACTTGTTACTCTTCAATCACCCTAATCCCTATAGAAAATAACAAATATTACTAAATAACAACCCTATATAGAATAACAAATATTACTTAATAACATCCGATAGAAAATAACAAATATTACATAACAACAAATTATATATCATCCCTATTGAAAAAAACAAATATTACTAAACAACATCCGATAGAAAATAACAAATATTACATAACAAATTATACAACATCCCTATTGAAAATAACAAATAATATTATATAAAATAACATCCCTATAGAAAATAACATAGCTGTAGAAAATAACAAATTTTACTTAATAACAAATAATACATAATAATATCAAATGTTACTATATGCACCACAGCACACATCTTTAAACTTGTCTCAAAGTTGAGACATGAGAACAAGTTTTACCTGTCCAATTTCAGTAGGGATACAAAAAAAACCGGAAAATAACAAATAACATCTGATCATCTTACCATTTGAGCTATGATTGTTATCAAACCAACTTGTCTCATTAAGGTAGATTTACCACCCATATTTGGTCCTGTTACTAAGACTACCTTACTGTTGTCATGGCAACTAGTTTCTTCATCTTCTTCCTATAAATAAAATAACTGATGAGCAAAGGCATAATCATGATTACATATAGAGGCAATCAAGTGGGGCAGTCCAGTGGTTTTCCAATCAAAATAATGATATTCACATAGGTGGCTGATTGGCATGTTCTGAACAAAACAAAATGATAAAGAATATATGATAATTCATAAAAAACACCGATTAATCAAATAGTTTTCTTAATTTGACACTAAAAAATAAGGAAACCCATCTTTAAAACTACATTGGACTTTCATTTCATCATTAATGTCTACAAAAAATCTTCTAAACTTACATCTTTGATTCCTATAACTGTATCATTAGGTATAAAATCACTACCACCAAATGTTCTACAGATACAAGGATGTCTTCCTTCTCTTATCTCTATAAAAGCCTGAAAAAAATTAGGGGTATTCAGGGGTGAAAGCCGACATCAGGCAGACGCACAAGGTATCAGAATTTTCTTACGTATAGGAGGATTCTAACCCACCTATCAACTAGCAGACGACAATCCAACTTAACATGCACATGCTTTAACATGCACAGCTTGTAGCACACATCCCATTATTGTCCCATCTTAACGATTAGATGCTTTTTCCATGTCAGCTCCTCATCTGACATCACCCTGCATCACTGACAGGGGAAAAGCCAGTTGAAAAATCCAAAGGTTGGCCAATTCTCTTGACCTTTGCCGGGATTGAACGCTGGAACTTCAGGTTAGCCAGCAAGCTTCTAACTCACTGAGCCACCCCTGTCTATAACTGAGGTAAAACTGAAATCTATCTCTTTCTTCTATTATTATATACTTTGATGGATATGGCTCAGCTTTAACAGAGCTGAATTTGATTTTAAGATTGGAATGTACGCCTTACTTACCTCTGTATCAGTATCTGGTGTAATAAATTCAGGACGGCACATGGCACCATCTGTACATTGGCTATATTTACACATAGATACTAATACATCTAATACAGATAAACATTCTACCACACCACTCCATTTCTTATGTCTACAAAAATAGGGAAAAAAAATCTACCTTAAAGTGATTGTTAAGAGGTTTTCTAAATTTTTATGTGTATCAGGAACACTGTTAGCATCAATTTACACCATTTTGATTTTCAATCAGACGTGTGTGGTTCCTGCAATTCCACTAAAACTATGTGTTTGATCACTAATAGCTAAATATGCTTTATCACATGATTGAAAATTCAAATCCATGTGTGTTCAGAATTATCTGCGTATGAAAGTTAAAAAGACGACTAACCTTCTTGAGACACTGTCATATATAGAATTAAAGACATCTATAGAAATAGGAAAAGAAATCCCTAGTTTGAGATATTTTTGAAGAAATTATGTGATTTTCGTACATTTCTAGTACATCTGAAGACTATTTACATGTATTCAAGACTTAAATCAACCTCCCAAAACGTGGAGCCTTTCTATTTAAGTGTTAAAGAAGCAGACGTACACCATTTCTTACCTTTCATCAAAACTATAAAACAATCTTCTCATGACATCTTTGAGAGCTGTATCTTTACGATCTTCAGCATCTGTTAGTTCTGTAAACATTTCTTCTATTTCTGTAGTTCTATATCGTTTCCAACCTTTCTTTGATGACATCAATTCATAATTATTGGGAACTCGGCAAACAGCTACCTCGGGTACTTCCATTTGATATCTGTTTTTACCACTACCCCAATATACCATCGCCTGCAAAATTCAAGTCAAATCTTGTACATTGCAATTTGGTAAATACTAAAAAATGAAATGAAGTGTTACATCCTACTTATCAGCACCTAATTGGGTAAATGCAGTGTGCAATGAGGAAAATTTTGCAGGACTGCTCTTTTTCACTTTCCTACTGTCAAGGGATCTTTAACCTGCACAGCCTGAAGCACACAGGGCATCGGTTTATTGTCCTATCTGAATGACTAGACGTTTTTTCCATGTCAGCCTCTCTTACCTACATCACTGACAGGGGGAAACTAGGTTGAAAAATCTGAAGGTATTAGATCGACCTACACTGGGATTGAACTCTAGACCTTCAGGTTAGTGAGCAAGCGTCTAACTCACTGAGTAGCTCCTTAACTTATTTAAGCAAACTAACTGACTGACAAGACAAGAGTGGCTGCAGGTGTTTTAGTCCTGGAGAATGTCAGTTTTCACCCCCAACTGATATACTTACCCTACAACTTAAAGCTTTTCTCTGAGAATCAAGATAGGAATTGAGTTTATCTTCAATAGATAAGATATCAACAGTAGCTGTATCATATTCTTCATCCACTCCTTTACTAGGTATAATAATACCATCTTTACGAGCTTTATCATGGTCAAATGCAGCCTGAAATACAAAGATGGAACATGGATCAAATCAACAAAAAATCCCCAAATATTTAATATTACCTCCAGGGAAAAAAACTCTGCTCTAATTTTAACCTTTAAGAAAATACATTATCAAATAATCTGCTAAAAATTCCAATAATGGAGTCTGTTTACACTTACATCAAAAAATTTCAAACTTTCATGGATATCAGGAAAATGGCCGCCATCAGTTTCCATGGTAACACTCTTTTTTAATATCTTTGATCTGAAAAAATCAAATGATAATTAGATAACAACAAATCAAGTTATTAATCAATTTTGGGGGGCTGATTTTAGTCTTGAAAATATGTTAATAATCTTCAGAAGTACTAGAAATGTACGTAAATTGCACAATGTCTTCAAAAATATCTCAAAATAGGAATTTTTTTTTTCCAATTTCTGTATATGTCTTTCAAGAAAAGACAACTTATCTTTTCGAATTTCAAACGCAGATAATTCTGGACACACATGGATTTGAAGGCTTAAATTTCCACAATGAGCTGTGAACATTATTACTGATTTGCTTAGCTAAAAATTTTGCATTTCTGAGACTAAAGTATGATTGATCAAAATACAGCATATTTTCCAAAGAGGTATCAAATGCATTTTTGGGGACAAAAAGGCTTAAAACCCCAAAACTAATTGTCATACACTTACTTGAAGTTGTCTGAACTTTTTTTACATTGTTTAATGATGTTCAATGAGGATTTAAAAGCTCCAAGAGTACTTAAAAAATCTTCTATTTTCTTCTTGCTACAAAAATAAAAGGCAGACCTAGAGCACAGCAGGAAACATGTTATCTCTGGTGCTGGTACAATATATTGTATAATGAGAGATACCTCTCATTCCTTAAAAAAAGAGGATTTTTTTTAAGTTGGTGAAAAATCAAAAAACTGTTTTTCAATGACTTGTAAGATGCTCGACATCAACCACTTCTATCAACTAAATAACCAAATATCACAGTTATAAAGTTATAACATTAACATATATAGAAACTATTTATAAGACAGTGGACGCTAACTACTTCTATCAACTATATTACCAAATATCACAGTTATAAAGTTATAAATTAATATATATAGAAACTATTTATTAGACAGTGGACACTAACCACTTCTATCAACTATATTACCAAATATCACAGTTATAAAGTTATAAATTAATATATATAGAAACTATTTATAAGACAGTGGACGCTAACCACTTCTATCAACTATATAACCAAATATCACAGTTAGAAAGTTATAAATTAATATATATAGAAACTATTTATAAGACAGTGGACGCTAACTACTTCTATCAACTATATTACCAAATATCACAGTTATAAAGTTATAAATTAATATATATAGAAACTATTTATAAGACAGTGGACACTAACCACTTCTATCAACTATATTACCAAATATCACAGTTATAAAGTTATAAATTAATATATATATAAACTATTTATAAGACAATGGACGTTAACCACTTCTATCAACTATATAACCAAATATCACAGTTATAAAGTTATAAATTAATATATATAGAAACTATTTATAAGACAGTGGACACTCACCACTTCTATCAACTATATTACCAAATACCACAGTTATAAAGTTATAAATTAATATATATAGAAACTATTTATAAGACAGTGGACACTAACCACTTCTATCAACTATATAACCAAATATCACAGTTATAAAGTTATAAATTAATATATATAGAAACTATTTATAAGAATGTGGACGCTAACCACTTCTATCAACTATATTACCAAATATCACAGTTATAAAGTTATAAATCACTATATATAGAAACTATTTATAAGACAGTGGACGCTAACCACTTCTATCAACTATATTACCAAATATCACAGTTATAAAGTTATAAATTAATATATATAGAAACTATTTATAAGACAGTGGACGCTAACCACTTCTATCAACTATATTACCAAATATCACAGTTATAAAGTTATAAATTAATATATATAGAAACTATTTATAAGACAGTGGACACTAACCACTTCTATCAACTATATTACCAAATATCACAGTTATAAAGTTATAAATTAATATATATAGAAACTATTTATAAGACAGTGGACACTAACCACTTCTATCAACTATATTACCAAATATCACAGTTATAAAGTTATAAATTAATATATATAGAAACTATTTATAAGACAGTGGACACTAACCACTTCTATCAACTATATTACCAAATATCACAGTTATAAAGTTATAAATTAATATATATAGAAACTATTTATAAGACAGTGGACACTAACCACTTCTATCAACTATATTACCAAATATCACAGTTATATAGTTATAAATTAATATATATAGAAACTATTTATAAGAATGTGGACGCTAACCACTTCTATCAACTATATTACCAAATATCACAGTTATAAAGTTATAAATTAATATATATAGAAACTATTTATAAGACAATGGATGCTAACCACTTCTATCAACTATATTACCAAATATCACAGTTATAAAGTTATAAATTAATATATATAGAAACTATTTATAAGACAGTGGACGCTAACCACCTCTATCAACTATATTACCAAATATCACAATTATAAAGTTATAAATTAATATATATAGAAACTATTTATAAGACAATGGATGCTAACCACTTCTATCAACTATATTACCAAATATCACAGTTATAAAGTTATAAATTAATATATATAGAAACTATTTATTAGACAATGGATGCTAACCACTTCTATCAACTATATTGCCAAATATCACAGTTATAAAGTTATAAATTAATATATATAGAAACTATTATAAGACAATGGACGTTAACCACTTCTATCAACTATATAACCAAATATCACAGTTATAAAGTTATAAATTAATATATATAGGAACTTTGAAGATAAAATGTTAATTGTTATTCCATTACACAATATCACGATATATATCTTGTTGATGCCAGCATGGTGGAGGAGGGGGGCTTTGGAGGTCTAATACATGGTTTGACAAATCCCAGAAATATTTGATACTAAAGAAGCCCCTTACCTGTAAGTAACTTCCTCATATAATATAGCTCTACTATCTGGGTGACTTTTACTACGATTAGCTGATCCTAATACATGGATACTACAAATAAATACCATCATTTTACTATTTAGAATTAGATTTAAGATTTTCAAAGACTTTCAAAAAAAAAGAATTATAAGGAATCTACAATGAGAATTTCCCAAAAATTAGGGACTATGAAATGATAATTTCACTGATTATGAAATGAGAATTTCAGTGACTCTTGAAATTTTCAAGGAAACTAAAATGAGAATTTTAAAGAATTTTTAATTGAAAATTCAAGGATTTTGTTAAAAAAAAACCTCAAGGACTTCGTAAAAAAATTCAAGAACTTTGAAATATAAAATTCAAAGAATGAGAAATCATAGGAATTTATAATAAGAATTTCAAGGACATTTAAGTATAAAATTCAAGGACTTTGATATACAAAATTCAAGGACTTTGAAATATAAATTCTAAGGACTTTGAAATATAAAATTTAAGGACTTTGAAATATGACATTCAAGGACTTTGAAATGAAAAATTCAACTTTTTATAGGAGAAATCAGAGGAATTTATAATGAGAATTTCAAGGACATTCAAATGTGAAATTTCAAGGACTTTGAAATGTAAAATTCAAGGACTTTGGAACCTACCGACTAAGTAATCTTTCTATATCTGGTAGTTTTTTCAGTATTTCTACAATATCTTCTGTTAATTCTGGATTAGCCATCAAATCTTCTACAGCGTTCAATCTATCGTTTATACCTTCAGTGCGACACAATGGAGCACATAGCCAATTTCTAAATAATCTTTTACCTGATAATAAAATATATTCATAAGATAGTGACTGTGTGCGTCTTACCCTGAAGTAATATACCATTAAAACAAATCATGTTGGTTTGACTTAAAAAAAACCCTTAAAGGGATTGTAAAGAAGTTTTCTTACATTTTTTATGTGCATCAGGGACACTGATAGCATCAATTTGCACCATACCAATTCTGAATCAGATATCTGTGATTCCTGCAATTCCACTAAAACTAAGTATTTGATGACGTCATTAATAGCAAAATTTGTTTTATCACATAAGACCCTTCGTTTTTAAGGACGTCATCAAACACTGTTTTAGTGGAATTGCAGGAACCACAGACACCTGATTGAAAATTGGAATGGTACAAATTGATGCCGTCAGTGTCCCTTATACACATAAAAACCATTGTGAATGAAGTTCATGGCAAGATAATAATCCAAGGGTCATTAACTTTAAACCCAATTGCTGAAAAACAGTCAAATTCAAACCCTATGTGAATACAAGGTATTATTGACATGTCATCATTGGTTTTCTATTTCCAAATTCTACGCAAACAAAAACAATTTGGGAAACACTAAAAAAATTAGTCATTATTTTTTGTATTTTTCCATAGAGTTTTAATCAAAATTTCTAGGACATAAAAGAATTACCAAAAGGTGTTGAGCAGAAGTTAAGCTGTTGGAGTAATGTCCCTTGTTGATCACCATACACAGTATTCTCTGCAACATCTAAATTAGTCAGTGTAATACCATCTAATACCTACAAAACAAAAAACTTTCTATTGGCAAGCAATGCTTAATATTTAATCAGAATATCATACAAATAAATACTCTCTTAATCATCAAAATCTATTTCTTCAGAATCAAAGAGTTAGCCCCTTAAACATTAATCCCAAACATCGCTTAAACAAGTTCTAATGTCATATTAGCCAAGTCTTAGGTAATATTAAATCTGGCAACTCATATTACCAATTTCATATTGCATTTGCACGAGTGAAAGATTCTATTTATCACACACCTATCAATAAACGCATATTTTTCTTAAATTTCGTACACTTTTTCTATGTTGGGCCTTTATTTTGAGATCCACCTTTTTGCACCTTCTTCCAAATGTAAGATCTTGATAAATACCTTCATGTGATAACTTAATTGAAACTTTTAATTATATTAGTTAGAACAAAGAATGCCATGTAGTTCTGTTTACATGGTGCATAAATATATGACCTAATTTACAGTTATTAACCTGTGCCACAAGTTCATATTGTTTTTATGAACCTGTGTTATGAACTCGGGAACAGAACGGTTGTGTGATAAACAGAGATAAGTCAATACAAACCATGTGTTTTTGATTAAGTACAGCAGATCTATCTTTAGATTTAACAGTTTCATCTAATGGTTTATATTCTTCAAACTTTCTCATAGACAATAACTCTTCATCCAGTAAACAGTACTGTAGATACCAAGTCATAGCTCCTAGAGAACTTATAGCTAGCTCATAGTTATCACTAGCTGTCATACCCATACTGTCACCTAGAAAACAGTTATAATATACAATATAAATACATAGCTTCTAGAGAACTTATAGCTAGTTACATAGCTACTAATGAACTTATAGCTAGCTTATATACACCACAAGGGGGTTACCTGATTGGTGAGTTCTGCCCATAGACTTATATATAACTCTATGGTTCTGCCCAATCAGGATTTATGGAATCAACAGAATGTTCTATAAAACAAGTTGGAATAGAGTTCAGAACCTGTTTCCAAGTGTGCTGAAAAAATAGTAGGTGCAGACAGAATTCAAAATAGCAGAGAAGGAAATAACTGGGAAAATTTTGAATGTGACATATTCTAATTTCAGACAATTCGTTAAAGAGCAGAATTGGAACAGACGGAACCTGATCAGAACTCTCCAATCGCGCATCACCCGGCTGATTAGAAAATGATGCATACATATCTGCCAACAGATTCCAAAATGAAGTATTTTCCTAAGAAACACCAGAATGTCCCGCCAAATCCAAAATATATTTCTACCTACCATCAGCTAACATTGTTTTTAAGATGTTTGGCCACACAAATTCATCATTTTCCTTGAAGTAATCACCTTCTGCTAGGAATTTCAATGTTTTACTGCTATCCCAGAATTCACTACCGGACGACAAGGACTCTTTAATGACCGAGGTAAGATTGGTATTGAGGAGGCTATTGGTATGTTGAGACAGCTTATTTCTTTCATATAAAACCTAAATAAAATAAAATCAAATAGTTTTACATCATTACTAAGAGACTGGGGGCCGCTCGATTGGTGAGTTCTGCACATTCAGGACCTGATCAATTGGAGGCAGAATTGAAACCTGTTCAGAACTCTCCAATCGAGCGCCACCTTAAACTGGAGAGTAGGAACTACCTCCTTTACACATTAAAGATCCTTAAGTTGGAAATCAAAAAAGAGCAGGCTAATGCCATTATTCAGGCAAAATTTCCCTCATTGTACCCTGCATGGCTTTGGCTGTCTTCACTAGCCAACATGGTGCAGAAAAGTAGGATGTAAATTGCCATTAAGTTAAAATAAACCACCAACCTGAGAGGGGCAGTAATGAGCTATTAATGTTCGTAATCTAGAACAATGCCGGTCATCTTTAAACTGACCAATCTGTAACAAATACAAAATACAAATGATCATCAACATGGACAATTAACAATTCATTCTTCAAAGGGAGAGATGCGCCATTTTGGTTGTTAATTTGAGTGTTCTATAAATGTAAAAAATCTTCAGAAGTACTAGATATGTAAGAATATGGCATAATTCCTTCAAAAATATCTCAAACTAAGAATTTTACTCACTATTTCTATATATCACAGAGTATCTTAAATTGATGAGTCATCATTTCAACATTCAAACGTTGATAATTCTGGACACACATGGATTTGAAGGCTCAAATTTTGACAGTGAGCTGTGAGCACTATAACTGATTGGCTTAGCTAAAAAAATTCCCGTTTCTGAGACTAAGGTACAATTGGTTCTAAAAAATGGTGCACCTGTCCCTTTAAAGTGTCCAAGTACCATTTGTTTCTTAACTTAGATTATGTAGATTTTTAAAACATTCTGCATAGTCCGACTAAATTTTTGGTTCCAATTGATTCCTTCTTGCGTCAGTTTAAAAAAACTCTCAATATTCTGACATTCTGAGTATTACGAATTACGACATTAATCAGTGGTTTGAAAATCCCCAAATTTGAGTCCTGTGACACTCTCTGTAATACTAATAGGACATTGGTATACTTACATGAAAGAGTCCTATTGATGTATCAACAAAACATACACCATACAAACTACAATCATCACTACTGTTACACTGAAATATAATTACCATAGAAACTGCATTAAGGGACCCCCTCATTGGAATAATCCAAAATGGCCTCTTAAAGGGATCGTGAAGGATTTTTAAAAAATTTTGTATGTGTACTGATAGCATCAATTTCCACCATTCAAATTTTCAATCTGACGCTTGTGGTTTCTGCAGTTCCACTAAAACTAAGTGTTAGATGACGTCACTTATCACGAAATATGCTTTATCACATACATTGGCAACTTTCAATTGGGAATCGTTTGACTTTTCATGACCCTCAATCGATTGTTGGCCACACTCAGAACATCGTTAATTAAGATAATCCATAGAAGTTATATTTCTTAATTATACCTTTTCAGCTATAGCTAGTAAATAGGTACTTTGTGAACTAGTACAATCACCATCTAAATGTTGGTATGTTTTAGTACCCTGAGTAGCGATCTGACATAACTCTCTTTTAACTACTTTATCAAACTTAGTAGCTCCACAAGCTGAAATAAGTAAAAGGCGGAATTGAAAATTCAGAAAAAGGAAAAAATGTAAAACCAAATGATGTAACTTGTGTTTAACTGAAAAACTTTCCATCATTAATGCCCCTGAGCACACTTCTTTAAACAAACGTTCTTGAAGTATGGACATGAGAATAAGTTCTTCTAGTCTAACTTCAGTAGGGACTGAAAATAGGTCAGTTATCTGAAGGTCACATAGCGTGAAACTCTGAGTAACAACATGATTCAAGTTCTGTTTTAATATTTCTAATATTTTTTTGTATCCTACTCACTTTGTTTACATCTTTCAGCCATCATATCTGGTGTTTCTGTCTGCTCACACCGACCTACTTTATATCCTTTACCAATTAGAGCGTCAGCGTAACGATTATACGCTATTTCTGGAAATCCTGAATGAGCATAATCTCCCTGAAAACAAATTTATTTTAAATACTCTCAATACAAAACATCTCAGGTGGTACCACTTTTCAAAATCAACTTTTACTTCCTTTTCCCCTACAATTATCTTCGGGTCACTTGATTGATGAGTATTACATGTTCAGGATTTATGGAATCAACAGAACGTTCAATAAAACAAGTTGGAATAGAGTTCAGAACGTGTTCCACATGTGCCACAAAATAGTTGGTGCAGACAGAATTCAAAATGGCGGATAAGGAAATAGATGGGATTATTTTGAACAGAGGGAACTTGTTCAGAACTCTCTAATTGGGAGACATATAATACATGCTGGGATCATTTCAAGCCTATTATTGTCTGTCTGATAATTTGTGTAGTGAGAAATAGTTGATTTCAATTAAAATACTAGATAATTACCATGTATTATATCACTTACCTTCATATAAATCAGACCTAATTCATTGACAATAATCACAGAGTCCATATGAAACAATTCATAAAATTTACCCATCTACAAAATAATAACATTTACTCAGTTTAATTTAAAGAATTTCATCATTTAATATTTGAAGGATTTCAGAAATCATCCAATGAAACATTTCCTTTTTAAAAAAGAAATGAATCCATAATATTGACGTCACCAAAAATTCCACCAAATTGAAAATGTTTTGTTTCGTATTACGAATTGCTTATTTTGGGGCAAATTTTTATAAGAGGTTGAGGTGTTAGGGCAGTTGGGATTTAAAACCCAACCCAAACAGTGGTGTGCCATGCTTTCATTCAAACAATTGCAATCTAATTAATACGTCTGCTTTCACCAAGTCAGATAAACCTTGCAACAAAATACTGACCTTGAAAAATAAGACTGTATCAAAATATTGTGATTTTAGTTCCCACCATTGTCTCATAGCCTGTCAAAAATAATATTTAAATTAGTGAAAATAAACAATCTATACTTCATAATCTATAAGTTACATAAATCTACTTCAACTATAAATCTTGATATTGAAGTTTACTTAAAGGGATGGATGCGCCATTTTTTTGACCAATCATACTTTAGTCTAAGAAATGTGAATTTTTTAGCTGATCCAAACAGCTCACCGTCAAGATTTGAACCTTCAAATCCATGTGTGTCTAGAATAATTGATGTAAATTGATACACATAAAAAGTTTAGAAAACCTCTTTACATTCACTTTTAAGTATTGACATATTATCTTACTGGAGTTTGTTTCTTAAGGAAGCCATCAGGAAGATGAAGAGTTCGTGGATCATATTCTGGATCAGACTTCTTTCTTCCTTTAATATCTCTACAAATAAACATTGATTATTAAACTGTAAAAGGTCATCAGTTGTCATTCAGCTTATCAATGGTCAAAAGTAAAGGATGATTCCAGGCAGACACAGAAGTATAAACGTTTGTTAACACTACAAGCAGTATAAACACTATAAAATATAAAATCTCAAACTTGGTCAATAAGAGTATATATTCATCAGTTAGACTTACTAGGTGTCATGACTAAAGAATATAATTTCTATATATAAATGCAGTTCATCCATTAAACTAAATAATTATTGAAATACACTTCTAAGCATGTTTTAAAATTACTTAGTTTAATGGATTATTACTTAGTTTTATAGATTTATTAGATTATAGAGAGATTCTGTTGTATAGTTATGATACCAGGTAAGTCCATTGATGAACAAAAACTCATTTTAATCAAGTTTAAAAATTTCACTTTTTTGGTCATCCTAAGAGGTAGTATACCTTTAAATGAACTGATGACACAAAGAAGATGGGACAATAGTGCCTTTTCAGTGTCGAAATTGACTTACCTGATATTTTCTGGTTGAAGGAAGTCGAATTTAAGATGAGGGAAATTGTTACCATCTCCACTACCAGATTCATTGACCTACAAAATAGACAAACCATACATTGAAACATGCCATGGAAGCAGAATTGTTCTTGTAAGAAGAAGGCTTTAAAGGGACTGAGCACCATTTTTTTTTTTGTCTCCGAAACAGGATTTTTTATCAGTTGTATTGTGTTCACAGCTCACCGTCAAAAGTCCATGTGTGTCCAGAATTATCTGCATTTGAATGTTAAAATGACGACTACTCTGTGATATATAAAAAATACATCTATGGTAAAATTTCTAGTTTGAAGTATTTTTAAAGGAATTATGTGATTTTTATACATTTCCTGTACTTCAGAGGACTAATTACATATATTCAAGACTGAAAATCAATCCCCAAAAATAGTGCATCTGTGCCTTTAACAGGCCTGTAGCTAACCCAGGGTCTCTGAGGGAATTAACCATGTAACTTAAGTTATTCTAGACATCTAAATTTCCCCTTCTTTCTCTTCAAACTAATAGATAGCTGAAAACCCTGCACAAATTTCTTACCGAGTCAGGTGCCGAGAATAGAGACAGTTTAGATTTGGTATTAATAGATACATTTGGTTGATAACTCGATTTCTTCTCACTATTATCATCTTCCTTCTTAACTTTCTTATTTCTGTTAGGTTGACTTTCACGTTTTCTTTTCTTGCTCTTAAATAAAATTTACCGTAAAAAAATTGAGAATTATCAAATAAAGCAATGTTCAGATGTAAACTCTGAGTTTATAAAGAGATTTTCTAAATTTGTTATGTGTATGAGGGACACTGATAGCATCAACTTGCACCATTCCAATTTTCAGTCAGACATCTTATGATTGATATACTTTCTCATATGAAAAGTTCATTAGCTGCTACCAATGTTTCGCCATACATGATGGATACATATACAAAATTTAGGAAACGTCTTAACAATCCCTTTAAGGATGTCTGTCAAGTTAACATACTTTGACCGGTGATTCTGGTTCTGAATGTACATCAGCGTCTGAAACATCATCTTCATCAACACCAGAACTAGCTGACTCATCTCCACTATCATCACTAGCAGGTTTAAACTCATCACCTAGTGAAAATTATGAACATATATATGACTTAATTATTTCATCTATAAAATCTTTAGTATTTACTAAGGAGCCGCGGTGGCTCAGTGTGTTAGACGCTTGCTCAATTAACCTGAAGGTCCAGGGTTCAATCCCAGCATAGGTCGAGATAATACCCGGTTTCCCCCTGTCAGTTATGCAGGTAAGAGGGGCCGACATGGAAAAAGCGTCTAGTCGTTGGGACAATAAACCGAGGCCCTGTGTGCTACATTCTGTGCACGTTAAAGAAAAACGAAAAATCGAAAAAGAGCAGGCTAATGCCACTGTCCTGGCTAAATTTCCCTCATTGCACCCTGCATGGCATTGCCCGTCTTCATTAGCCCACAGGTGCAGAAAAGTAGGACGTAAAACTCCATTGATTTCATTTCATTTTTGAGTATTTACCAAATTGCAATGCACATATTATATTTTGTGTTGTAGATGATACATTTGTGTTGTAGATGATACATTTGTGTTGTAGATGATACATTTGTGTTGTAGATGATACATTTGTGTTGTAGATGATACATTTGTATCATAATTGGCAAATATGTATCAGATGACACATTTATATCGTGACTGAAACAATTGTGTTCAAGACAATATTACCAGATTCCTCATCACTGTCAGCAGAGGGCATAATTCTTCTTCTCTTCTTTTGAGATTTTACTGAACGTTCTGGTCTACTATTTCTTTTGACTGGAGTCTTCTTACTAGGAGTCTGGAAAACAGTGGAAATATTGTTATTGTGAAAAATATTGTCCATGACCTGATTATCATCATGATGATGTAACTGCTGCTCTGTTTCATGTAGGGAGCTGTGGTGGCACTGTGAATTAGACGCTTGCTTGCTAATCTGAAGGTCCAGGGTTCAATCCAAGCAAAGGTGGAGATAATATTTTGGGTTTTTTCAACCCATTTTCCCCACCCCCATTTTATTGATAACAGGTAAGAGGGGCTGACATGGAAAAAGCGTCTTGTCATTCGGTTGTGACAATGAACCGAGGCCCTGTGTGCTACAGGCTGTGTACGTTCGATCCATCAATAGTTTGCAAAAGAGTACGCTACCACTGGTGTGCTGCCAAAATTTCCCTCACTGCACACTGCATGGCATTCCCCGTCGCAGATGTAAAACTCTATTCATTTCAATACTGTTTCAAGCAGATTTGAAAAATATTTGCAGTCTTAAAAGAACCCACATCATTTTGTTACTTGACAATACTATATATTGTAATACTGTCCAAATACAAACCTTTTTTTCAGTTGTAACTTCTGTTGAGTTATTATGGTTTTCTTTACTATTATTACCTTCATTTTCACTCATCTCATCATCGAATATTTCAGCTGAAATTTAGCCATTAAGAGATGAATAAACTTGAAAAACGAATTTTACATTGTCTACCTAGTACTAGTGATGATGAAAATAATTTCTTGAACACTCATTTGAATTCTGCTGGTAATTCTCTTCTAATTTAGATAATTATGACATAATTATGGACATGTGAGATAAACTGGTATTTCACCTTTACTTTCTATTCATATAAGTCTTAGCATTTTCATTTTTTATAAATGAAAATATGAGAGTTAAAACTGTAACTTACGATCAAAATCCATGTCTTCATCACTAGAAGGTTGTAATTCTACTAATAACTCACTTCTCTTAGATCTCTCCATTTCTAAAGCTTTATCACCTTGCTCTAAACCTATAATATAAACCTTTCTTCAAAATATTTTCCTTTATTTCAACATGCAATTTTTCATAATATCCATTTTCTCATAATATTATTGCCAAATATTGTTTCCATTGTTTTTTTTTTAAGAATTTGGTTTAATTTAAATCTTATCTACAGTTTAAAGTATACAGAACCCAGATTTACAAACATTAAATTATTAACACACATTTTGTTAAAACAATTTTCAGAACTTAAAAGTTCTGTGATAGTGCTTGTTGTAACTTTGTCACCTTTACTCCTTATAATATACACAACAGACAAAATGCATTGGAGAAGGTTTCAGATGAATCAATTCGCTTAAAGAAGAACAGTCAGCATTTTCGGGGATTGATTTGGGTCTTTATTGTTCTTTAATAGTCTTAAGAATTACTAAAACGCACGAATATCGCATAATCCCTTCAAATAACCTTAAACTAGAAATTTCACTGTCTATTTCTTTATATATGTGTTTTCTATATATGGCATAGTCTCACTAAAATTTGAGTCAAATTTTTAACTTTCAAACGTGAATAATTATGGATACACATGGATTTGAAGGTTCAAATTTAGACGATAAGCTGTGAACACTATTAGTGATTATGTAAGATAAAAACTGAAACTAAGGTATGATTGGTCGAACGGATAGTGAAGGTACTCCTTTAAAAGAAATAAAGACTTTTACAAAGCCAGATGAGATGTTTTTAAAGATGTTGGCACAGGAAGTATGTCAATGCATTCAGTTACATTCGTGGCATGTGTGCAAATTTTTTCAATAAGCTTATCTTTTCTTTTGTCGAACAAGAAATAAAAGAGTAATTACCTGGACCAAATATACTGGTATTAACTGTATAAAACACTCCCCCTTTCTGACATTCAACATCTTTAGATCCTTTAAATGGCCTTATATTTCTGAGTAATAACAAAATTAATCAAATCATTATTTTATAATAAACAGGGGCAAACTAGGAATTTCTTTTCCTATTTTTCTATATATCTTTTCTATATATGACAATGTCTTAAGAAAAGACGAGTCGTAAGGCTCAAATTTCAACGTTCAGCTGTGAATACTATTACTGATTTGCTTAACTACATTTCGGATTTCTGAGACTATGGTATGATTGGTAAAAAAAATGGTGGACCTATTTTTTTTAAACTGGCAATAAAAAATCCACTATCAAATATGTGGAGTTATCAAACCAAGTCAGGTGATGACAGGTGTTACAGAGCAGTAACATGCAAACCCTAATCCTTATTTTCCTTCTAATTAACTGATAACCGATAGTTTCAATTGAAAACCTGTGTCAGATAATACAATATCAACTGTTAAAATGTAAATCATACCTTACTTTGACCCAAGCTCTACTAGTTGGATTGTCAAAAAATTGAACATGAACCTCTGGAGTTTTCCCTCCTTTGAAGAATTTTTCCAATGTTGGATGATTGCAAATTAAACTAGGCCACCATGGATATCCTTCTAACTTGGCCCACACCACATCAAATAATTCAAATCCTGAAATGATAAATGTGACTACTTCATAACAACTAGAAGTAGAACTACTTTTAATTTTTAACCTCTTCCATCTCCTAGTTCCAGTAGCAGAAATTTTTGGTAGTGATCAGCAGTGATCAGTCAAATCTAAGGGTTGTGCACCCAACCCCCACCCCCACCCTTCCATCTTGATAGTACCAGTACACAGGTATGCTACCATTATGTCCTTACCCCCATTTTCTGGAACATTCTTAGAATCGACAGATTTCTTCTTTGCTGAATTTACTGCTGGGGAATTTTTACCCATTTTTGAAGCATTTTTTGTGGTGGAATTTTTGTTTACATCCAAGAATCGGTCAAAGTTCGGAGACTTTTTCTGTGACAGGACGTTTTCGTCCTTTTGCTTGGCAGGAGGGGTTTTGCTAAAGTATGAGAATAAAGTATTTTGTGGTTTCTTTGCTGACATTATGGAAAATCCACCAAAATAGCTGATATTTGCTGAAAATAATAAGTAGGGAAATTCACGAGCAATCTCCCGCGAAAAACAGACCACTACTTCCGTTTTCTTAATTTCCGTAAGTCAACTCGTCCTTAAGAACAATGTCCGATTTGACCTGGATCAATTTGTTATCAAATGACAACCAATATGCCTGTCATCTAAAAGAATGTCTATAAGTTAAAATATATAGGCTGCTTTGGTATGATCTTATCATCAAACGTAATTATTCTGGAATATAGATAGGCACTATTTCAGGGGACGGTTTGGTATGTACATGGATCATAAGGGAGGCAACTCTGTAAAAAAAGTTAATCATGAAACAACTTCCGGTAAAATTTCAGTTATTATTTTTCCGTTTTCTCAAATATTTTTTTTATGAACTCTCAATTATTCCACAGGCTTAAGCTATCATAATCCTATTTGGTAATTGTTTGTCATTCTGGTATGCTATAAAGAGTACGACTGCGAAACTTTGAGTCAATCAATCGCTTAAAAAAATTGCATTATGGTGCCCCGAAAGTGAGACATTCATGATTCGGACAACGATTTACGTCATCTTGGCATTCTCGACTTCAGTGAGTCTTTGTTCTTATTTTTTTTATCTGTAGGCTCTCTATTTCAAATTGATATTAATTATTGTGTATTTTTAAACACATATTATACTTAAGCTTATTTGAGGTAATTCATAAGTTTACAAATTGCACTGTGTTAAAAAAAAATCCTCACAACATAAACTCATTAAAAGACTTTATTCTAAAAAGACTGATGTCTGCTTTCAATTACGAAGTACATAAAATATCATTTCTTTCTATATCCAATTAACAAAGCCTCTGCCTACATTTAGTTAACATAACGCTTTATTCAAGCTCAGCAAGGTGCCAACTCAAAGATTTTGCTATGAATTGCTGATTATTAGCTTATGCATTGTAATTAAGTACAGTAATAAATATGTAAACTTATAGGTATTGGTACTTATAACACTCAGAAGATGTTTGTGCCTTTGTGGAAATTAGCAGAAATTTTCATGTTTTTTTCTTTCTATCTTTTAGAATGAGAAAAGATGAAATGTTACAAAAATACTTTGAAAAAAAAAGAGTAAAATTCGCCAAAATATAAAAAAAAATGGATGATAATACAGTTATTTTAAGTGAAAAGACATCTCCAAGGGTAAGTTTAAATTCTCATTCACTTTTTAGAAATAAAAGGCTTTAGATCTGACATATAAAGGTAAAGTTAAGCTTTATTTAAAATGGCAGTGTGTATCAATTTCTATTGCATAATTAGCTTCAGATAATTACATCATAGTCTAAAACAGTGGCATATTTAGGAGGGAAGGGGGGGGGGGGGGGAGTGGGAGAATGTTGCCATGCCTCCCTTTCCCTCAGGACAGAAAAAAGGAACAATTTATTCTATTTTCTCAGCCAAAATCCAAAGAGATGCATTCTCTGCCTTCCCAGATAAGAAATTTTTTTTAGGGGGAGGGCCACACACCGCAAGTACCCCCAAAAATCCAAAATGGGAGCCAAGGATCTATCCCTTTAAATTGAAATGACATTATATTTTGTAGGCAATAGATGTTCAGAGTGAAATTAAGAAAAGAGATGAAATAATAATTAGATTAAGTGAAAGATTAAAAGAATCTGTAAAATATCGTGATGAACAGATATCTCTACAATATCAACAGATTGAAGACTTGAAATTACAACTTGAAAAACTACAGCAAGAATTTCATCAGGTAATTTTGAATTATTTTTGTAAGTTTATAACATGATTTAAAGATAGGTTTCCTTATTTTGTAATGTCAAATTAAGCAACCTATTTAATTAATTGGTGTTTCTAATGAATTATCATGTATTCTTAATCATATCATTATGTTCTTATTGCATATAATTAAGAGTTTTAACCAATTGATCATAAATGTAAGCTTACAGTTTTGGAAAGAAAAAAGACTTTTTGACCTTCCTTGATCGGTCACTCATTGGAATTCTGCTGATAATTCTCTTCTAATTTAGCTAATTATGAATTAATTATGTACATGTAAAGCAAACTGACATTTTTCCAAGTCATTAGAACAACTCTACTCTCTATTCATATAGATATTAGCATTTTCATAAATTAGAATAAAGAAACCCATCTTTAATGATTATTTGGGAGAAACTATGATTATGAGGTCCGATGACAAGTACATTCAAGCCAAATGGAAATTTGCATGTGCAAAGATAAGTTGCTTCACACATATGCTGTAGCTTACATTTTTCTTAACTATTTCTAGAATTTTTGTTTACATTGTTTAGTTCTTATTGTGTTTATTTTGATCAGATGCCTTTCTGGTTTAAGGGTGGCATACTCTTGCCGACTTTTTGACATAACGCCGTACGATTTTTGGACGCCATCTTATCAGAAAGTATAGTCAACGCTCACTTCCCAATTTTTTATCACGACTGGGGTGTCTTGACTCTTAAGCGGCTTAGAGCTACTGTAAACAATAAGCTTATGTCATCTAGAAAAAAAAATTCTATTGGTTGACCTTTAACTAGGTCACAACAATTTATTGGGAACACGTGCAATTACCTACAATGTACATCAGGAAGTCTTTCGATCAAACATGCCAGATATCTCCCGATTTTGCAGTAGGCCTGTCAAAAAATTGGCTAGTGTCCGAAATCCGTATATCTCTTAGCATAAGTGACCAGTAATATTGTTAATTTCAATCAAAATCTATGAAAGCTTTGATTTTATTCTTTCAGGCAGAGGAAAAGTTGAAAATTCAGAAACGTCACCAAAATGGATCAGTTGAAACTATTGAATTTGTGAAAGAAAACTTACTTGATCTTCAATCTAATCTTAAAAATGTCTGCCTGGACTTTAAACCTGTTGCAGAAAATTCTAGTCATTTGGAAAATATTCCACAGTGTAGTGCAATATCCAGTACCGGTACTGAAACTTCTTGTGAAGTGGAAGTTTCCAGTACAGAAAATCTTCAAGATAAAAAGATTGACAATCAATCTACATGTTCTTTACAAAATGGAAGAGCAGACGTAGAAATTACCAAAATGGAGGTTGGTAAAATTCTGCTTAGACCAGACTTGACAAAATCTGATTTGGAGACCTTGTGTGAACAGTTGAAGCAAAAATTGGAATATATTGAAGAAGAACACGCCAAGGAATTACGTTCTCGAGATCTAGAATTTGAAAACCGTCTGGAAGACAAAGATGATAAATTAGACATCCAGGAATTGGAATTCAAAAGAACTCTGGAAGTAACTAACAGTGAGAAAACAGATTTAGAATTAATTTGTTCCCAATTGACCAAGGAAATTGACTTTTTGAAGGAGAAAAATTCAGATTTGGAAACCAAAGAAAATGACGACAAAGTGTATTTGGAAACCTTGAAAAGTGAAAAATTTGATTTGGAAGCGCTCTGTTCTGATTTGCAGGAACAAATTAAGAATCTGGATGCAACTCATAGTCAGGAATTGTGCAGAAAAGATTCCGAATTTCACAATAAATTAAAAGAGTGCAAAATAACTCTAGAATCGGAATATAAACAAATTTTAGAAACCACCGAAAACGAGAGAAATGACTTGGAACTTGTGTGTTCTGTGTTAAGAAAAGAAATTCATGGACTCACAGAAAGACATGCACAGGAATCTTTGGACCAAAACCAACAGACCTCAGGAAGTGACCTAATTAATTACAAAGCCTTATGTTCAGATTTGGAACAGAAACTCAAAGACATTGAAAAAGCAAATACTGACATTTTGGGAAATCATGTGAAATATGAAAAGAAAATTTGTGAGTTAAAACAAAATCTAGAGATCACAACAAATGAAAAGTGTGGCTTAGAAACTTTGTGTTCCCAATTACAGGAAAAATGCAGCACTTTGGAAAAAGAAAATTCCAAATTTGACAAGGAAAAGCTAGATTCTGGGACTAGTGAAAACCCCGCCTTGCAATCAAAACTTGAACACGAAATTGCAGACGTGAAAACTCAAAATTGTGAACTTTCTGAAAAGATTGAAACTTTAACATGTGAAAAATCTGCGTTAGACATTTTGTGTTCGCAATTGAAGACAGAAAGTGCTGACTTAAAAACTCAATATTGTGATTTCCCCAAAAATTATGAGACTTTGACCAATGAAAAAGCTGCCTTGGAAACTACACGTTCAGATTTAGAGCGAAAACTCTCCATCTTAGAAGCACAGAATAGTGAAGTCTTAAATTTCAAACTAAGCCAAATTGAAACTCAAAACCAAGAGCTCCAAAAACATTTTGAAACTGCTTTGAATGAAAGGGATGGATTAAACACCACCTGTTCTGAACTTCAACAAAGACTCTCAACCCTTGAAACACAACATTATGAATTAGAGCTAAAATTACAGTCTGCCAAGTCGGAAAAGGATGATTTGGAATCATCATGTTTTGAACTAGAACAGAAATTAACTGATCTGGAAGCAGAGGACTGTTTGATCTTGAATTCCATTAAAGCTGAACATGAATCCAAAATT